CTATTCTTTTCCAGTGACCCATTAGAGCAAGTCTGGTGGAAACTAGCCAAAAGTCTATACAAGACAAACTACTGAAATGATAAGTCCTATATGGCGCATGATATTGATTCAACTTTGTAACAAACTGAAAATGCCTTTTCAATGACTTATCCTTAAATCAGAAGCCTTCAAAGTCATCATGGTTGTTGTGCCGAAGACTGTTGCAAGTTGTACGTTTGCTTGTGTCTGGTTGGGGAAGCAAGAGAGTCTGCTGACATTCGGTGGTTGAAGGGCAGAGGACAGATCTCGGGTTTAAATGGGTCTATTTTCCAACAGTTGTTCACGGCGGCTGCTCTCACCAGATACGCTGTCCACATGGGAGAGGGTAGTGAAATGATTACCGGTACTCGCACATGGAAGCGAGTGGGAGGGGTGAAAATTTGTCCCGGTTGCCTCCATCTAGAGGATAATGGGCTTGGTTCCGCAAAATTGCTTCTGTCTATGATTGTACCGATGGGCCCGGAAACGGAGTAATTGGTCTGTTGTGATGTTTCCGTTCGATATAGGTAGGTAGAGTGGTTTAGAATGGTACCGCTTTGCAGAGGCCCCCGACAGGGGTTCTGAATTGCACTGTCCCTTTACAGTGTCTTTCAACCACGCTGTCATTGTCGCGATTGGAATTTAATTGTATACCAAAACTAGTGGTATCAAAAGTTTTTACAAAGAATGATCAGCAGACGACAGCGTGTATGCCCAGGAATCCTGTCATTATATATCCACCCAAAGTCACATATTCAATCCCGGTGCAACAGGACATGCCGCCAAATGGGAAGAAATGTGGCTAATGATATAAGGCAGGGAAATTGCCTGTTATGATATTTTGTATAGATATTGATTCAATTCTCGGCAAACGACAGCGTGTGTGTCCTGGGACCACTCGCCATTATATCCAACCGCTGGTTGAATATCTATACCTTTATTTTCACAAGAGTCCTTATCATTTTCCTATGCTCGGTATGAAAGGTGCGATGATTGCCACGATCTTTCACAAATGTCGTACATAGCAAATGCAGACCACGGCTGTGGATCGAACTCTTCCCCTACAGGTGCTCCTGACGCCTGGTCTTAACAGATAAGAACGTTACATCACCACCTGTAGCCCCAAGAGCAAGGAGAAGTGACAGGCCTCCTTAAAAACCCCACTCACCCGATCCTTCAGTCTGCCCTTTTCACTACAAAATGTTAAATCAGAAGATTTGTCGGACCGCTGAACGAATTTCTTAGTGAAAGAACGAATTTTCTTGCGTTTTGTCTGTTTTGTTGTCTTTTAAATCACTTTAAAGTCTTCTAAGTCCTCCTTCCCTGAACACATATGCACGTACCAGGAATCACGAAAATGCTTCTCAGAAGTTCCTCACTTGATGTTTGGCAAGCAAGCGCACCAATCCAATTAAATGCACATAACCGCCTGTCCAACTCCATTAGACAGACAGGACCCCAAGGAACTAATCTGCCTAAGTAACGCTGTCCGAGTACATTTTCTTCTTATCTACCAGCAGGTGTACTCTACTCTTGCGGTAAATATGACGGAGCAAGGATGAGGGTCGCGACCTTCGCTGACGTCCGCCCGTTTATTATAGAACAAATGCGCTGCAGAGATTAGAACGCCTACTCCCTACCCACTCTGTACTTGATAAATCACCACACAACAAGTTCCCTGGGTGTTTCCAACAGCCTATTAGTTTCTGGCCTTAACAAAATGTCATGGGAGACATTTCAGGGATGCTGGGAATTGCCGGAGGAGATGAGATCTGAACCTACATTCCAGCCAAGGACGACCGCCGCAAAGTCGTACACGGGATCTGGATCTACCCAGCTCATGATCGGCGCCCGCAAATGGTTCTTTATTACGAGGGGTGATCAAAAAGTTCTCGGCCTCACCTAGAAAATAAAGGTCAAACTCCTATTCTTTAATATAGCTGTATACTATGACGTCTTACATCACTGCACACAAAAATTCAATTTTTTATACTCATTAATTAGCACGTGACGCCCCGTGAAAATGGGGTGGGTCAGGGCAAAATCACAAAATGGCCGCAACAGAAGCGTGTGCTGTGATCAAGTGTATCGATAAAAAGGGATGTCTCCTAAGGAAATCCATGAAGACATGGTCAAGACACTTGGTGATGACTCCCCTTCTTATTAAACTATAAAGCAGGGGGTTGCTTGCTACAGGCGCGGCAAGGAGAGCACAAAAGATGAACATATGTCAGGATGCCACAAATCAGCACCACGGACAATCCAGTTGAGGTCACTCATCACATGGTAATGAATGACAGATGTGAGACTGGCCAACATGTAGCAGGTTCTTTGGCCTGTGTTATGACTCAGTTCACAATGTTTTGTCGAACATCCTGGGGATGAACAAACTGTCTGCATGGTGGGTGCCTCGAATGTTTTCTGAGCATCAGAAGTTAAACAGGCCGGACATTTCAAGAAACGAATTCAGTCCAATGCATGCAATTTCCTAAAAACACTTGTAACCCAAGATGAGCTGGGTTCACCACTTTCACCCCGAATCAAAACAGCAGAGCAAACAATGGATGAAGATTTTTTCCCGGCCCCCCAAGAAGATTTAGCGACTTTCGTTCGTTGACAGGGTTTTTGCCTCTGTTTTCTGGGACAGTTAGGAAGTAATCATGATTGACTACCTGCGAAGGGGTTAAAGCATCAATGGGCCGGGAAGTACTATTCAACAGAATTACCACAGTTGAGGACAACGATCAAAGAGAAAAGGAGAGGAAAGTTCTGAGCTGGCGTGCTAACAATGCACCTGTCCACACGGCACAGGGGTCAGTGACAGCAGCAAACGAATTTGGGCTTGCAGTCTAACCCCACCCTTCCAATTCACCTGACCTAGCACCCTTGGACTTCTACCTGTTTCCTAAACTCAAGTTCCACTTACGTAGTCAACGTTTTGATGGTAATGATGACGTCATCTATGCGGTATAGGCCAATCTGGGGGGTCCAGATGCAACCTTCTTCCACAAGGGGAAAATAAAGCTGGAACATCACTGGACCAAGTGCATTGCAGTTAGAGAGGACTATATCAAAAAATAGTGTAAGAAAAATTTTACTGCCATGACGTTTTCTAGGTGAGGCCGAGAACTTTTTGATCACCCCTCGTACATTAGGCTTATCGTACCACAGCCGCAAGCGGGGTGAAGAAGCTGGGCTGAGCGTATACATGTGTACCTGTAGTCGTCAGCACTTTGTAACAGCCTTCGGCTAGTTGGGTAGCCCTGGCTGCATGTCTTGGTACAGCCGGACAAATGAATCAAATCACATCAAGTAACTTAGTATACACTCTGTTTAGTAGCCATAGAACATGTTTAGTATAATTAGGTACAACTGCTCACTGTACCCTTCATGTGTATAGTTTAGCGTAATGTAGAATGTACATGTAGAGTCGAAATATTCTCTAGCCAGTAGTTCTTTATAATACTCTGTCAGATCGTACAATGTCCGTTGACCATATATATATAGCATTATGTTAGACACATACCAACTAGTAATTTTATTATTTGCCATACATTGTACCCGTGACAATCGGTGTGCAATAAACTTTGACTTGACTTGACTTGACATCAAATCATTCTGCCTGGTATCTTCCCATGGACAACGGAGTTACACCGCCTGTGTACTTGTATAAACAGCTCGTGGTGATGGTAATCGTGTTCGCTACATCAAATGTTTTCAAATGTTTTCGAAATGTTCTCAATTTTTTTCAAATGTTCTCAAATGTTTTCAAATGTTCTCAAATGTTTTCAAATGTTCCAGCACTTCCTGAAAACTTGTCAGCCCTTTCATTATAGTAGATACCGACATAGCCTGAGGTGTAGATGACCTTAGACAGAGGGCGTCTATTGTTATTGTCCCTTTTTCATAAATCTACTGTAGACACCATCAATAATTCAAAACACGGAGGATTCGGATGTATGACAGTTCGCCCTCCACGCCATTGGTAGTCACGCTTCATGATATAAGAATTTACAAGTATATTAACGGCATACGCAGCTCCGGTATATGAATATGGATACTATACTTGCGACCAAATGCGAGATGTTTTCCTTCAAATTTATGACGATGGTACAATCTACCTTGTAGCGTCACCTAGCGTTAGCAGGAAGCGTTGCAGAGTAAACCAGATGTATAAACACAGCTTATAGTATGTTTTAAGTAGCATAATAGCCTGAACCCTTGACAAATGTCACCTTCGTGGTTTCTGTGCAAAATCCCACCCTCCAGTTTGGTTTATAGATTTGTGGACTGTGATTGACCGAAGTAGCAATAAAAACCTCTCAGATGTAGTGATCAGCTACACTGATCTGCGAGAATGGGGCGTTTTGAAAGGCGTTTTGTTTCGACATGTAGATTGTGTGAATTATGGTACAGTTTACCTCACAAAGCGGTACGTGACCTTCGTAATATATCATTGGCACAGGTATCTGATGAAAAAGACGCCGCCTGATTGAAAAGCCATTTTTGTGAGTGTGTAATAAAACATTTCTTACTGTAAGTAGCTCCCTCTCTCCCGCATACTTTTAGTCGGTAGGCCGATTCCGTTTCAACTCTCCTTATATCTTGTCATGGATGTATTGCTTACATGACATATTTACAGGGTCTCACTATGATACAGCGATAGGCAATAAGAGAGCTACACTGGTATGAATAAAACTTGCGTAGAAAATGGCCATGGTTTGTATCGTTAAGCCGATGCTTGCTTTTGGCAGAACTACCCGTCCTTATTTGAGCTCTAATTTAGAGTTGACTGTTTTACAGGCCCATTAGCAATTTTATGGCTGTGTTTGTTCATCACAAACACAGTACTTATGACTTATGTGTGTGAACAACACTGTGTTAACAAGAAATTTCCCTCTCTTTATATAGTAGTCTTCCCAAAGTAGTCTACACTTTAAACATGTAACTACCAACACTGATGAACTTTCATGATAGCACATTGCAGCATGTTGGGAGCCTGACGACATGTAATGTCACATGTTGACAGACAGAAAATCAGACGACAGAAACGATTCGAATCCCTCTCTGAGCCCGCCATTCGGACAGCCCCGCCAAACCTGACGAACAACGGCATACCTGTCATACCTGCTTATTGTTCGAAATGGTGACGTCACCACAGGAAGCAGCAAACCCCATCATTACTCACTCTTGATTGAGGACAGCGTCAGAGACAACACGGTCGCCATATTGTTGTGATCGTTGCAAAGAAACAGCTCTGACTCTGCTGACAGACAGTCAGACTCACAAGACTCAAGGTAAGGCTTAGATGGTGTATCTCTTTTGCTTCTTTCCGCAGTGTGTGTTGTACTTGAGTGAACTGCAAAAAATTGTTACAAATTTGTACACAGACCTGGAACGACCAGGGTCATTTGGGGTCACCAACTACAACAACAAGAGAGTCAACAGTAGTGCATTACGGAGTGTGGGCCCGCATGTTATCAATTAGGGGTTTATAAAAGAAACAAGAAAGTATTATAAGTTTATGACCTGCAAATTAGCACGTCACTGTTTCATAGATTTCATTTATTCTCCAAACGAGATCTAGACTACCACATGTTTACGCCCTTCTCCGCCCGAAATAGTTTTAATAGGACCAGGAACCGGCAACATCGCCTTAGGGTGGAAATTCTTCAACAGGACTGGGAACTCAAGTCGTTATCTGACTGTGGTAGGGAAACGCCTTGTTAGTGCGTACATTCTTCTCCACACCTGGTACATAAACAAAGGCATACAGCGACAGCCTGGCAATGTTCGCTATAGAATATCGATAAAATGTCCATAACCAGCGAAAGACGAGCACGCGATGGTCTTACGGCTGGGCATTAAGTGGGGACAACGTTTGTGGAGCATAATCGTTGCTGACAGACAAGGACGCGTACGAATATCTTGTTTCCAGACAAATTTAAATCTTTACAACTCATTCAGATTAGGGATATATCAGATACCAGTCACCATCTAGCATTGCATATCCTTTTAGACAACATATGCCAACTTGGTCTACGTATTATTTACTTGTAGAGTAGATAGAAAGTATAACACGACGTAACCGTATGGGGTGCTTTTACACCAAGCACTCCTGTCTCCTCAGACATTCCAAGAATGTGAAAAGGGATCTCAAGAACCCCTTAGGGACCTTTTTACCTCTTCTTAAATCAGTAATCGGTCATTCAGGAAATACCCTGTGAAGGTCAAACATTGCGGTGCCTTTGGACTGGAGATATTTAAGGGTTCAATCGCGCCCTAATCCTAAGCAGGGGCTGTGGAGGTTTATAAATTACATTCTATGTTTATGCCATGGCTTACTGCACAAAGTCGGTTGCTATAGTACCTTGCTCTGGATTATTAAGACATGATCGACTGGTCAAATGCTAACCCGGCGCCTTCACTGCACAAAGAACATGAAATGTACTTGAAATAATTGCTTAGATACTGTCACTAGTACACTTAGCCTACACAGAAACATTAATGCATTTACATGATGTGCGGTGCGTCTTGAACAACATGAAAGACATTGAAAAATAAACAAAAACCTCTCAAAATAAAACAAGTCAAATCCATCCATCTGCTTGGGTATTACGAGTTTGTTTATCTCTGTTACCTACTTAGTCTATATCATACAGAGTAACTTTTCGAAAGGATCTCAATGTGCAAGGATGTTTCGTTTAAACACACAGGATTTGTCACACGGCAATTGTCTTCCTCTATTGTAGTAAGTTAATGGGCCGAAGTAAGTTTGTTTGTTTCAGAGCTGAATAGCAAGATTTCTAGGTATTTGTAATCTATGTCAACTGTCCAGTCTTGTGACCTCGTATTTTCTGAGACAAAAATATACGTTTGTTGATCGTAGCTTTACCCAGAGAATACAACAATCTGACAACACTCTCAAAGTCTAAAATTTTGCTGCAGTATGGGGAGATCTTTTTGCCAATGAAGAGCACGCTGACCAAACACTTTTCTTCGGGTCTTTCTTCTTCAAGTATCTCACACACGTATCTACCTACGAAACAGTTGCTCCCTTGAATACCACGCCAAACTCACCATGTACATGCATACTGTATTACTTTGGGACCGGCCAAGATTTTATAAGGTTAAAGAACGTAAACAAACCCTTATAGACTGCATTATTACTCTTAACATCTTTAGTAACACCTTTTCACTGTGATGTTTGGACGCTTAGAATGTAATATGAGATTACACGGAGATTAGGAAGGACATATATTTAACTTTCTTGCTCTCAAGATAAATCTCTGTAGGTGTGCAAATGTGCTTAATGGTTTACTCTGGGGAAGTCAGCCACAGGTGAAACATGATCGGCTGGTATCGCACACCTAAGGGGGTCACCTTACCGGACGTCTTTTCTTCTCCAGCCAATAGCAGGTCACCTGATAACAGAAAAACCGTGACGGGAGGGGTCAGGCAAGTTTGGAGAGGACGCCATAAGACAGCGAGACAACATGGGAGCCGGAGGAACCAAGGGAAAGGACACTGCTCCAGCCACCAAGCTGGCCAGACAGAGCGTCGAAGTCAAGGTAAGACGTCCTAGCCTTCCTGTGTACTGACTGCTGGCATTAGGTCGTTGCTAGGTGGTCGTTTAGAACGAGCGCACGGACAGGTGTGGTTACATGTACACGCCCAGCATACCATGACTATCGTGTAAACACAGGTACCATTGACACACAAGTGCAGCTGTGTCTTACGTTGACGTCGAAAGCTTCGCTACTTCGAACTTGTCACTAGATTGATCATCGAGGTAAACGTCTGTACATGTCCAATACAATGCCTTAGCAAACAAACAAGCAAAAAGATACGCCACTGCTGACCCTGGGAGTGCAATGTTAATTGTTATGGTGACAACAGTCCCTATTGTACAAGTCAAGAACGATATTTTAACATTTTAACACATGACACGCGCATTTTTGACGTTCACAACTCAACAGACTTCACGTACGTAAACATGCGAGCTGGAAGTTGATATTTTGTTTGTATTGAGACAGATTTAGAAGGATAATTCCCAGGCTTTGGGTCCAACATGTGTGCACTGAACGGATTTTCTCATGGCTGCTTCGGTCACGTTTGAAAAGCTTCTGTTTCCGTGTAAATAAAGTTCATGGTCTACCGAGACCGAAGTAGCCAACTACTTAACAGTAGTGTAGTCTTTAACAGTGGTTTTACCCCTCCCATTACCCGGTGAATGAAGGGCACGGCTGCAAAGCCTATATCTAGTGCCACTAGAAGGGCTGCATGTAAACATTCTATGCGGTGTGTTATGGTAGAAATAGCGTGACAGTAATGCTCAGAATATTCGTCCCTCGCCGTGCGTGTTTTCTCAGGGCGTTAGCTGAGACACCTGCACGTCCGTGTTCCATCGTTTGAATTCGCGTTGTGTTTTGGGTAGGTTAGCCACCTGCTGCTATGCCAGCGGGATCCGGGACTTGAAAATACACCCAAGCAGAAACATCAGTAAGACCCGTGCAAGCAAAAAATGCCAGAAATGTATGGTCTTAAAGGATCTGAGTGCAATCTGTGCACTTCAAAAACGATTTGCCTACAATTTCATGGTAGATTTTGGTCTGGTATACCGACTAGATATCGTATTTTGATTCCGTCGTGTCGTAACGGCTTGCGTTAAATCGTAAATACCGAATCTTGCAATAGTTTTAACGGTTTCAGATGATCACGTCAGGACAATAGGACGACCCCGTTTGAACAAAAGGATTTACATGATGAAGAGATAAGAAAGACAACAGAACTAATGGGGGTTCGGGGGGAGGGGGCTAAACAACGCAAGGTGGAAGGTAAGGTGGTGTCTGTCAAAGAGGCAATATACAGGAGCATCTTCCCGGGAAACAAATTGTTTTCTTGGACAATAATTGAAGCCAACACGAAAATCTGATGACAGCAAACCTAAGTCGCAGATACACGACGGCTTGTTATAGGGCTTTTACACAACAAAGAAGACTGGATGTCTATGTGCCACACAAGGATACGCTCTACTTATAGCAAGCATTATTTTTTGAATTCATGAAGTCACTTTCAAATGCGGTATGACATTGTCCATGTGATAACGAACGATTTGGGCACTACCACCATCTTCTGAGGCAAACACCCACACATGATGTTGATCAACGTGTATCGTGACAGTGCACCCGTGTATCTGTTGTACATGTAGCCATGATTGATACGTTGCCATGATTGATATGCACATATTCGGCTATCATGGACCCCACCAACGTCTTGTAATGAGTAGTCATGTTCTTAGAACTGTCTTAAATCTGAGTCAGCTTTATGTGTGGGCTCGTGATTCTACGACCAACACAAAAACATTGCTGTTATAAACAGCCGATACAGATGTCCAGATGGAGCCCAGTGTGTTGTACGAGGGTTAAAACAAAATCTCCTTTCCACAGTTGAAGCAATAGAGTATAACTTCATTCCCTTCACCCCTACAGGGAGATGAGTACGCTAAGATGTCCTGTCACAACCAGGACGGGAAGCTGGTGGATCATTACTTTGACGACGTGAGGACCCTGCACCAGGCCTTCATGAGGGGCGTGGGGCTAAACAGTAAGTACAGGCTTCATGAGGGGTGTGGGGCTAAACAGTAAGTACAGGATTCATGTGGGGCGTGGGGCTAAACAGTAAGTACAGGCTTGATGAGGGGCGTGGGACTAAACAGTAAGTACAGGCTTCATGAGGGGCGTGGGGCTAAACAGTAAGTACAGGCTTCATGTGGGGCGTGGGGCTAAACAGTAAGTACAGCGCAGCGAAAATACCATCAGTCTTTCGGGTTGTGTGCCTTTTCACTAGTAGCTGTGACAACTGATCGACTGCTGGGTGAACAAAGATTTGACTATTTGTTTTGGGGACGTTTTGAGTGTTTTGTTGTCTTCTATATCGTTACCTCGATCCCCTCGTCAATCTGGAAGTTACTAGTAACCCTTACACAAACCCACAGCTCAGCCACCCGAAACAATACTTCCGTACACGGAAGTTACCCCTGACTGATTACTGAACGCTTCCTTCTCTCGTTCCCAGGGAACGGACCGTGCCTGGGATGGAGACCGGGAGTGTTGGCTCCCTATGAGTGGATGACGTACCACGAGGTAAGTTTCCTTTCGACATACAGTTTGTAACACACTTCTACTAACCACATTTCTGCATGTTATAACATTGACAGCCTCTAAATGACAAAGAGTTTGAGTGTCTATTTAATTGAAACACTGCTCGAGTCCCTTTGTAAGAGAAAGAAAAATAAAATTTCTCTCTACTTGCAGGTGTACACCAGGGCCTATAACTTCGGATCAGGTGTGGTACACAAGGGTCTGCAGCCTGGCACCAAAACCTCCATGGGTATATTCTCTCAGAACAGACCAGAGGTGAGATTGTTTTTGTTGTTGTTGTTGTTTCTTTGACAGGTAAGCTTCTAGAGTAGGTGCCAGTAGGGCAACAATATTCGTTCAAAGATCTCCTTTTTATTTAGCTCTCTGTTTTGTAAATTGAACAAGTGTAGACGCGTAATAAATACGTACATTGAGTTCAGGTCTACGTTTCGATGCCAACGATCACAGGGCGGTTGAAAGCTCTGTTATCAATAACGCACGTCTGTGTCTGTGACACACGGCTGATTGTCGTCATAGTAATACATGTAGTATAGAACAGGCACTCTTCAAAAGAAGATGCACGAAGGTCACTTCATACCATAAATCTCCATGTTATTTTTCTCGCAGTGGGCGATCGCGGAGCAGGGTTGTAACATGTTCTCCATCGTGGTCGTGCCGCTGTACGACACTCTGGGTGCCGAGGCCGTCCAACACATCATCAACCAAGGTGTGTACATACCTGCCTTCAAAATAACGTTTTGTCTACATTTCTGTGTCAGTAAAATGGAACTGAATGACCAACAAGCTTTCTACAAGCGTTGGATCCTTCTTTCATTTAAGGAAAAGTTGGGTAAATTGAAATATAAAGTTGAGCTTGTACTTCGCAAAGGTACATTCCGCTTGATTTTTCTTGCCGACAAACCTGGTCCTTAGTAAAAGACAAACCAATCTTCCCGTCTGTCGTCCAAATGTAGCGGAGCTCCGCACGGTGGTTTGCGACGTTCCCGCCAAGGTGACCAAACTTCTGAGTTACGCCGACGGCGCGGCTGACAACATCCTGGAACGCATCATCGTTATCGAGCCGATCACGAACGAAGAGACCCTAGCACAGGCCGAGGAGCTGGGGGTCGAGATACTCACATTCAACGACGTTGAGGTAGGTTTTGGTCTACGCTATGCTAGGAAGGAAATGCGCTTAATCGTGGAAATTATCTGCTAACTAGTACTTGACCAGAGCTTTAGATCACTGTTACATTCATGAGTATTGCCTGTGTATGGCGTTATTATAGCAACCGACTATTCACAGTATCAGGGCCTCGGGTTTCCGGCGATACAATTTTGTTCTCAATGCTAAATATGCAAAATGACGCAATGTTTCTGATAACTTTCAATATTTTCCATCCTCCAGCAAATGGGAGCCAACAATCCGCAGACTAAATTGGTATGTTGCTACTTTACATTCCTGCTAGTAGCGAGTAACTGATTACTTAAAACTACAAAAGATCTGTTGTTCATAACATGCATTTTGACAACGAACATGATCTACCCAACTTCCATATGGGGCTTTGACATTTCTACAGTTTTTTTTTTTGTGCTACGAGATCGGTTCTTTATCGCTGTAGTAACGTTTCTGGGCTTCTTCTTTCCTCTCGACATTCAGCCTCCCAAACCAGAAGACCTGGCAACAATATGCTACACCAGTGGAACTACAGGTATGTAAAGGAACATTCAGTCAGTTCATCAGCATATAGTGTAATGGGAGAACCTCCAGTTCAGCACCAAGGACAGGGACAGTGACTTAGGAGAAGAAAGGCGTCCTTCTAAAGTGCCATCGCTACAAGCATCTACGTCAATCAGGAATCTTGCGAGGCATGTTAGTTAGCATGAATGTCATGCTACATGAAGCAAGAAATGTTTCTGTCATCTAACGCGCTCTGCATAGAACATACATGTATCATTTATTAGCATCAGGAATTAGCCGAACGTAGCAATGCTTTCTTTTATCTAGTATTAGCACGGCTTGTCGCTTTACCCCTTTATAATTTAATATCGATGGTTTGTGTTTTTTTTTTAACTTTTTCTGAATTATTTACCCGTTCATTTGTCACTTTACAGGAACTCCCAAAGGGGCCTTGCTGACACACAGTAACCTCATTGCCTGTAACAGCGGGATCTTACACGCATGTCAGGTGAGCAAGGAACTTTCAGGAACATATATAATATACATTAACTACATATATAAAGACAGAGAAGTATATATGAAGAGAAATAGAAAGAAAGAGAGAAGGGGGTATTATAAGCGATCTTTATATACTTTTGTGATTCGTGTCTCTTGATCTGAATATGTAAGCGTTCAACACTGATATTCCAATGACGAACTTGTTCTCCATCTCCAGCGCTACCTGAGCTTCAACAAAGACGACGTCCACATCTCCTACCTTCCCCTGGCACACATGTTTGAAAGACAAGCACTGGTAGGTACAACAATGTTTTTCCATTGTATTTTGCTGAAGCCTAAGCATGCTGTCGAAGTAACTAAAGGACATTGAATATTACTGGTGTTAGGTTGTGTTGTTGTGAGTTTTGGAACCAAGGCAAACAGTAAATCTTCACACATTCAAGGTACGATTCTAGATGACACAAAAGACCATGACAAAAACTTACGTTGTCTCTCCCAGACTCTGCTCTTCTCAGTGGGAGCGAAAGTCGGCTTCTTCACAGGAGACATCAAACTGCTGGCAGATGACATGATGGCGCTGAAGCCCACCTTCTTCATCACCGTGCCCAGACTTCTCAACAGGCTGTACGACAGGGTCAGTCTCTTAGCTTGTTGGTAGAAGTCATTCTGATCCAATGTTGAACTGTAGTTGCCAACACAAAATTGGACTTATTCCAATTTTAGACTGATCAGCTCCAGTCTCTGTCAACGAGTGGGCAAAATTCACTGCTTCTGTGACTTCTGTAACACGTGGCTCGGTGAGCAGTGGGTCATAGGTTGCTGAACGCTTAATATGTTTAGGGAGGGTTGTGGGCCCCTGGTGTGAAAGGCCTTTATTTCTCTTGCATTAAGAGTTTCTGACCAGTCCATGTTTTCAGCTTGTGATCCTAATTAAAGATTTAAGGATATTGATGGTGATGTTTTGTTAGGCATGGACACTGGTCCAGGGAAGCGCTTTCAAGACAAAAATGCTGCATAAAGCCCTCAACGCGAAGAAAGAGCTGCTGAACAAGTGAGTAATGAACATCATTCAATCAAAATCGTACTTGCTTATTTGGAGGGGCAGGTACATGGCACGTTTAAATTAAGGCTTTATGTATTTGTTTGTTTGTTTATTTATTTGTTTCGTTGTTGGCCACATGTGTTGTATAATGTGCTTCTCCAACAAGTATCCATTAATTTGCTTACAGAGGAATATGTAGGAACGACACCATATGGGACACACTGATCTTCCGCAGAGCTAGGGTGAGTTCAACAATCTCTTGTAAAAAATCTTTCATGTTCCTAATAGATATGTTGAACTTCCTATATTCATCAAAAGACATACTTCTTTCAAGACATGTTCCGTTCTCCATTTGCGAGTAGTCGTACCAATCAGTAAGCAAATGATACTTAGTATTGTTTATTTCTCCTCTTTTTTTCCCCTGATAGGCCCGAACAGGCGGGAATGTGCGGTTCGTGGCGGTCGGTGCCGCGCCGTTGTCAGAAGAGGTCCTCACGTTTGCGAGATGCCTGTTCGGCTGCACCGTAAGATACAGTCATGATGTACTCTGAACAAAATGCCTCGTCAGTGTTGTAAATGACGTAGTACGGATATTTTCGTCCTTTCGAAAAGTGTATGGTTGGTCACCGCAGCAAATTACTTTTTAACTGTGAGTAAATGTATACGTACATATATGCATGAATAGGTTTATCTACAAAACGAAAAAAATGATTGCTTTATTGTTCGCGGAAATACATCTACAACAGTGTGAGAAAAGACAGGAGGAGTTTGATGAATGTTGTTCTCATGACATGACCAGGTGTTGGAGGGGTACGGTCAGACCGAGTGTGCGGCAGCAGCAACAACCACCATGATAGGCGACTACACCACCGGTAATACTTCAATGGTATTCATAGTTATCAGGAGGGAGCATTAGTTCCGACAATACATCTAAAGAAAATTGAACTTTCAGTTGCCACTTCAGTTGCCTTTGACTTACGGACACATGGTCAAAGGTGTTGAAGCCTGTATCGCCCCCCGTCCGAAGTAAACTTGCAAGCTTGTTTATTAAGAGAATTTTCGTTATCATCTTTTTTATTATGGGGCCATGGAATTAGACCATACCATATAGTTCTAAAGCAGAAGAAGTAACACAGTTTGCCATCAAAAGTAGCTACTAGCTAGTTGGACAATCTTGGCCGTATGTATACCAGCCAAACAAATATGGGCACATGTGTCCATCCAGGTCACGTGGGCGCACCGATCCAGTGCACCATGATCAAGCTTGTGGACGTGCCAGAGATGGACTACTACGCCAAGCAACAGAAAGGAGAGGTAGGTTTTTATATTCTTAAAATATTTTCTGATTTTTTTTCCAACTTTTTTTCCAACTTTCAAATATTTATGATAAAGCTTAAGAAATATGATACGTCATTTTCAGTTTGACTGTTATGTATGGACTGAAGTTAGCTTTAACTTAAGAGTTGTTTTCCTTGCTCATTGCCTATTTGTTTGATGTTCCTGGCGCAGGTTTGCTTCAAGGGTCCGAACGTGTTCCAAGGTTACCTGAAGAACCCAGAGAAGACGGCGGAGGCGCTCGACTCGGACGGCTGGCTGCATACTGGGGACATCGGAGCCTGGCTGCCGGTCAGCAAGACTACTGTTCTTGTTTTATTGTTTGCATACTGGAGTTAACAACTATTGTTTGCATACTGGAGTTAACAACATTTTGTGTTGGCATACACCGTTTTTTTGGGCCATCGAATACTGGGGCACCTCGCTAGTCTAATAGATTGCTGTCTTTGTTTTGTTCCAGTGTGGACAATTGCGGATCATTGACAGAAAGAAGGACATCTTCAAGCTTGCACAGGTAAGTGTCAGGCCCTTAAAACAATCGCCCGGGGCTGCACAGACCAGGCATTGCGCTATGTTTGTAACTAACTGCTGACACTGTACAGTTGCACACAACGAATGCCCACTACTGTACTAGATTCGGAAGGTGTCCTTCACATAGAATCTCCTCCAGACTTTACAGGTAGATTCCGTACTCTTCATTGTTATAATTAACGGCTGTATTTAACCGTCGGTTCCCAGGGAGAATACATCGCGCCGGAGAAGGTTGAGAACGTGTACGTCAGAAGTCCGCTGGTGGCGCAGGTCTTTGTGCACGGCGTCAGCATCAAGGTGAGGTTCACTTCTATTGGAAATTCTTTCCCAGAAGATACTTAACATCCCTTAATGCCATTCTTGTAGAAGGTTCCTCAGCGCAAATATTTCTTGTCAGCCAAAGAACTCAGCTGCAGGTTAGATGTACTCATGGTCATCGTCCGTATATAATATAATATAATATGAAAATTGTTGTTTTCTCATTTACCTGCTAGTCAAGCCTGGTCGCCATCGTTGTCCCTGACCCGGATGTACTACCCGGCTGGGCTAAGACCAACCAAAGCATCGAGGGGGACATGGAAACACTCTGTGCTAACAAGGTAACTATTGAACATCATGTAACCAGAATGTCAGATGTTTCCAATTCCCGACATACTGCCATCTTTTTACAATTCTCATGGAGGGGCCTTTACAACATTTGTGATGCATCTTATAGAAAATTTAGATGATATAGTTAGTGCTGTATCCTAGACGTTTTAACGTTTTAAGGCTGTGGTACTCGTACCAGTTCCTCACAGATCCTTGTGTTTGTCATACAGGATATCAAGGACGCCATCATGGCTGATCTCAACCGTATGGCGAAGGAAGGGGGACTAAAGTCTTTTGAACAGGTACATAGCGACGCAATGAGTTCATAAATGCATTGGGCCTCCAAATTCAAACAAACAAACAAACACACAAACAAACAAATCTAATCAGTCAAGTATAAACAAGTTGAAACTATATCTGTAACTCAAGTTAATATGAATTAGTAATATATGAATTAAGTTGGGTTCTATATTCTATATAACGCCAAAGTTCATAACTTCAGTGATATTTCCCACCTTGACGTCACGTCCGCTGACCTTTGGCCCCATCTCGTTCCCAGGTGAAGCAGATCCACCTGCACCACAAGCTGTTCACTACTGAAGATGACCTTTTGACCCCGACCTTCAAGCTCAAACGACCCCAGGCCAGGAAGTACTTCGCCAAGGAGCTGGAAGAAATCTATGCCTTGGTGCCTTGAAGATTAACATTTACGTTATGATGTAATGCTACTATTGAGTACTCGATCACTACTGAGTAACTGGTAGCATTTCAGTAACAATACAGTGATGTAGTCTTCCCCATTACTATTGTAATGTTATTGTTAGACATAACTTTCATTAACTCCATTTCCAGTCTTCAGCAACTAATGTACACTGCTGAAACTTAGACTACAGCATCCTATGGAAACTAAGCAGTAAAGTAGCAGCCATAAAGTGGTAGGAATGTAATACTGATTGAATTTGACACATTTCACTCAAATTGCTAGAATATGTTGGTGCCTATTGTATATACACTCCTGATCCCATGAGTTTCATGTCCAGAAGTGCCTTAAATTCAGCACATTGTCATATTTGCATACTGGGGTTTTGGTGGACTCATTATATTGGAGAAATCTCAGGTCTTCTAGAATAAGATTAAAAGCTTTACAAACATGTAATACTAATGTCACATATTATGCGTGAAAAGTTTAATTTCAGGGTGACAATTCCTGGTTATGTGTGTTATGGATAAAAATAATGATAATGGCAACATTGGGTGATCAAAGGAAGCAGTTCATACTTTTGTACTTGAGTAATCTGTTTTTAAAGTTGTTAAATGACATTAGACAGATATGTACGTAATTTACGATGAATGTATATTAGTCAAATCATAACTTAGGTGACGTGTTTGTGTGTCTTTTCCTTTCTTTCAAAACCTGAAGTTTATGTTGGGATTGGCAGTTTACACTATCACTGTATAGAATCAGGCATGCAGCAATTCATTTTGCTTTACTAACTTATAAAGTTGTTGCGGCAAACAAAGTATCAGTGACTTTTGTCTTCATTGTGGTTCTTGCTTGCAGTAAAAGATTGATCTACAACATAACACAATTTTCAAAGAGTAAGATAATCACACAGCATAAAGAACAGATTGAGAATACTATAGTTGGGCCATCATGCACCATGGAGGATGTGATGTCTGGCAAATGACAATTGAGTTTAGAATACAGAACATCAAGTATTATATATTGGTAGGATGTCGCTCCCTTTTAGCTGTGAGAGGAGATTCAATTCAAAGTTGACCTACCAAATTTGGCCTACCTCCAACCGTATGTCCGATGGTACAAGTCAATTAGCAAAATATTGTACCATGTGCAATTGTCGTGCAGTCAAGTTATTCTTTATCTAATGGGATTCGCCGGCATACTTTTCTTGGCAGAATTGTAGGATTTTTCAGTACCAAGGACAGATCTATTATTACACTGTAGGTAACAAAATACTACTTTCAAACTTAGTGAGTATGACCGTCAAGATATGTGAATACTAGTAACAGGTCAGAAACATGACTACTGCTTTGTCATGTTTCTGAAACACTTGATATGTGTCATTTGTATTACCGTTATTAAAGGGCCACGGAAAGTGAAATCATAACGCACACCCCCAGAAACTAAAATGGTACAGCCATTTGTAACGTGTGACCTACCCTTTGACCCTTACTTCCGGGTTCAGCACTGGACTGGTAACAGTCGTCTGCTATATGGACTTTGGACTTGACTTTGACTAGATCATGACTTGTTGTCGAATTTAGAGTACCATCTTGATGTTATTTCGTGGCGTGAGGTTTTAGGAGGAGTGTCACTAAGTACCAGTAGCCTCAAGATATACTGACCCCAGCGCAGGGCAAAGCAACCAAACCAAAGTGGACAGGTTGGTGAAACTGTAGACTAACGTTACAAATCGTCTCGTCTTGTGCAGTCTTTCCAGGCACCAGAGCCCACATCTACATGTAACGTTACGTATACCAGATCGCAAGGTCAAGTTGTTGGGTTCTATTCGGTTCTATACTAACGTTACTGTAAAAAGATCTATTCTGCTCACTAAACTAACTCTCGCTGCTTTTACGACATCCGAGAGTTTTCTGGCCTGACTTAAAACTTACACTATACAGCTACTTACAGTTACAGGTCGTCGAAGAAAGTCCAAATCTTTTTGACTTATTACCAGCGCTGAATTTCAGGTGAATTGCCCCCGTACGGGTGACTCAGCCATGGCTCCGGTCCGCGCACTGATCATTGGAGCAGGCAGCAGAGGATATCTGTACTCCAGGTTCTCCCTGGACAACAGTGACCGCTTCCAGGTGAGCAGAACTGGAACAATCACCTGTTCACACATTCATATCACCTCTGATGGCTTGTTTGAGTACATCAAATAACAGTGCATTAACTCTCTAGTTTCGTCTTATGAATCATGATTATTTTCTACTTTCTTCACTCCCAGCTTTTTAATGGGAATATGTTCTGTTTTTTTTTCAATCCTACAGGTGGTTGGTGTTGCCGACCCTCGTCTGTTCAGGTGCCAGCGTCTACAGCAGGAGTACAACATTCCTGAGGAGAATGTCTTTTCAGGTGACAATATAATTACCTGCTTAGGCACCCAATGGCACCTGAACTACACAGCAAAAGAAGCCCTGTTATAGTTGTCGTGGCTTACTGCTTACATTCAACGTTTGAAATGAAAGTTGTGAAACAAGGAAGTCTCCTTTTATTTCTTAAAACAGGAAGTGAATGCATATTTGTTTTTCAGTTTTTCAGTTATTTTGGGAATGCAAATCTATTCAAACATTCTTATCAGCTTATACATACACAAGTATGGCTAGTATGTTGCATTTTCATTTAGTCAACTAGACCAAAAAAAAATTAGACTAAGAGCATGGGGACTTGATGTAACTGATATCTGGGTACATACTGTCTATCTTATTGTGTGTACCCAAATGTACTGTTTGCATTTCATGAGGTTGTCTGACTTTGAATGTCTGCATCTCCGTTTCCCCAGACTGGCAGGAAGCTGCGGAGAGGGAGAAGTTTGCCGACTGTGTTGTCATAGCAACCCCAGACCAGCTGCACAAGGCTCCCGCGGTGGCGTTTGCTGACCGAGGATACCACATTCTACTGGAGAAACCCATGGCAGTGAGGATGCCTTCGTTTGTTCGCCAGTGACAAAATAGATCACAAACTTTAAGATGACATACTTCACCCCCTTACACATACCCATCCTGTCCCACAGACAATAATAGTAGCACTGAGGATGTGTGTCAATGCTGCATTATGTATATAGGGAAGATCTGAAAACACACTCATGCATACATACAAACAAACAAACAGACATATACAATATTTCACCACCTTGGGGCTTACCTTCTTAATTACTTGTGATAAGGGAAAAAATCATATAGTGGACCACCAAGAAGTGGTCACACTGGCCAGGTGCTCCTTATGTAGAGGTGGCCATTTGTACAGGTTTGACTAGTACTGTAGCCATACTGATGCTAACACTGAAATTCTCAGGTTACAGAGGAGGACTGCCGTGAGATTGTGGCAGCCTGTGAGAGGAACAACGCCATCCTGTCTGTGTGCCACGTGCTGAGGTACTTTCCACCTGTCAGGAAAATCAAGGTCAGACAACTATCAATGGTTATAAATCTTAAAACAATGATGATAAAATGCACATAAACTGTACATTTTACCTTCAATAAACAGAAATAGTTTCTAGACTTCTTTTGCTTGTACCTTCCTATTTAAATAACTTTATATTTAAGGATGCCAATTATCAATTTCACTTGAGGTTGACCTAATATTCAATACATATCCTGATTGTGTTTTGTGTTTTGTAGGAAATAATTGACAGTGGAGCCATTGGAGATGTAGTTCACATCCAGCACATGGAACCGGTGAGAAAAATCTCTTCTTTCATTTGTAAAATTTTGGCATAGTTGCAAGGTGCCATTACACCATGAATAAGGTAAAATTACTTAACACTGTATGCTACAAAATATGGAATTTCGCATGTATACCAGAGCTTTCCATACACATGTAAGATAACTAACAGATTTTAACTGTGATCGAGATTGATTGATTGATTGATACCTTGCTCACCTCCCAGGTGGGTTTCTGGCACTTTGCTCACTCCTTTGTACGCGGAAACTGGAGAAAAACAGAAGACAGTAGCTTCTCACTTCTTGCCAAAAGCTGCCACGATGTCGACCTCATTGCCTACTGGCTCACTGGGTCAAGGTCAGGTTGATAATGCCTTCTTGTCTATAGTAATGTAGAAATACTCATTGATAATTCTCCTAACTACAGGTGGGGTTCTGGCACTTTGCGCACTCCTACGTCAGGGGAAACTGGAGGAACACAGCTGGCAGTAGCTTCTCACTTCTAGCCAAAAGCTGTCATGATGTTGACCTCATACGTTACTGGCTCAGTAGTGCAAGGTTTGGTTATGGATGCTTTTTTGCCTGTCATCATTGACTGTTGAATGTAGTAGTTGCAACATGCTCTTTCATCTGACTTCATTACCTGCTGACAACCTTAGAAGGTGTTATTGATGTGTGATATCAATAGGTACTTTGTCATTTTTTTCCATCCTGTATGTTGTGATTTGTGTTGTATCCTATTAGTAATTGCTATCTGGCTTTGCCAGTACATTGAAGTCATGTGTCTACAAATGTATTTTTACAGGTGTGTCAAGGTATCCTCCTTTGGAAGTCTCACGCACTTTACACCAGAGAACAAGGTTTGTCATCTTTCAACTACATTGTACTATATACTCAAACCCTCTCAAAGCATACTTCACAAAGAAATTAAATCCTGACACTGAAAAGAAGGCATAGTACAAGGACAATGGTGCCACCTTCCTTTAGCAGGAAGCATCTTAAGTTGATAGAAGGAATTTGTAAAAAGCCTGTTGGAAATGTAACATCACCAATGGGTCACTACAATTAGTGTAAGCCCAAGAAGAAAACAGAAGATTAGGTATTGAGTCTGTGTTGTTCTTTCAGCCTGCAGGTGCAGCCAGCAGGTGTCTGGATTGTCAGGTGGAGAACACCTGCCCTTACTCAGCCCAGAAGGTCTACCTGAAGAGATTGGAACAGGTAACAACACATGAATACTTAGTATGGGGCCTAGGAATGTTATAGAGATGACACTCTGCAAAAATAAAGGGCTGTTTTGATAGGATAATTCTTTTTGTTCCAATTGGTTACATTAAGGAGCAAAAATCTCCGACAGGGCACCATAATTTTCCACATATTACGATACCCCATTGCCATCTTAACCATAACATGTACATGCTTGTATTTCATGTTCTTGACAAAAAGCTGTTTAAAAACATTGCCCTTGGGCTGTTTCTTGCTTCTTAGTCCGAAGCCAATCTATCACCTTACAGCCTGATTTCAAAAATTTAGTTGCTAACTTTTTCTGATATCTTGTTTACTAGATCAAAAAATAGATAAACAGCTAACAGATACCCCAACAAATGCTTCAGACGATTGTGATTCAGTCTGTCTTTTGTGTTCCATGCCAGGGTCGGACAGGTTGGCCAGTCAGTGTGGTGTGTCCCCGAGAGCCAGTTGACATAGAGAGCTTGACCGAGGCACTGAGAACTGGGCCGTACGGACGCTGTGTCTACGAGTGTGACAACGACGTTGTGTCCAATCAGGTACATTTCCTTCTCATTGCCAAGTTTGTAACCCATGGCTCATTTAGTCTTTATATATACAGTGTATATTAATTCACATTCCTGAAGCTATAATAGACTGGAACTCATTGCCATCAAGTACAATAGGGTTATATCCTCATTAGATAGCTTTAAACAATACTTGCAGCTCGATGTACAAAAGTTAGCAGTGACATGCCATTCAATGTAATATAACTTCTGCCATGCCTGCAAAGGGTGATTATACAGGCTACTCAGATACAGATACATTGTACAAATTTGGGGATTGCCTTACAAAACAGAAACAAGAAATAAGAAGAAAGGAGACATTTAAAGCATGTCATTGAGCATTTCTTCAATTTCAGGTGGTGAATTTCCAGTTTGATGGAGGCCAGACGGCTTCCTTCAACATGGTGGCCTTCACACAGGAGATCTGTGAGCGACAGACCAGGATCTCAGGCACCAAGGTGGGGCTGGGTACTCATGTGCAGTGGTCAGAGAATATCTGTCTATACTTGAAGTTTTTCTCTGTTATTACTGTAGCTAATACATTGTACATTCGTCTCATAAAAAGCCAATATCCACCAAGATTACCACCAAACAATAGATCAAGACATATCATGGCAAAAGTATGTCACAGGAAAGGGAATATCTCCTGCAGAAATACAAGAACACAGAAACAGAGGTAGTGAAATAAAATAACATTCCATGTTGTATCCCCCCCTTCAGGGTGAGCTGCGCTGCTCAGGTCCTGGCCCTGTGTTTGTCTATGACTTCCTGACGCAGACGTCCACGGAGCATCGCTGTGCCACAGCGCCATCTGGCAGGCTGGGGGGAATGCATGGCGGCGCCGACTTCTTCCTGATCGACGCCTTTGTCAGGGCTGTTCAGGTGAGGTTGATATTTGTTTTTATCTTTGTTGCATGTTATTGCTCACATGGGCTACATGCAGGAGTTATTGTTACAGAATCTAGAGGTAAAATATCATTACCTGTACATGTAGTGTTGATAGTAAACAAGAGGGAGACAAAACTAGCCATATACATTTTATAAGCATATGTTATCACTATCGTATACATGCATCTCTGAATTATGGCTCTGGTTCCACATGATGATTTACCTACTAGATAGGGTTTATATGATGTTTGGTTCTAAATCTAAGATGTAGAAATTAAAGTCATTTCCTCAATCTTTAACAAAATTTTCAGAGTGGTGACCGTTCTGACATCTTTACCGGACCGCGGGACACCCTGCAGAGCCACCTGCTGGTGTTTGCAGCTGAACAGGCGCGGCTACTGGACAGAGTCATTACTGTACATCCAGACGGTTCTTACAGCTGAGGAGCACATTAACTCGGAGACATGGCAAAAGTATAATGTGATTTATTTACATGAAGTCCAACACGCACAATGTGTTGAATGATGAATTCGCAGCACTCATGGTCTTCATCAGTATAAACAACATACATGTATCACTTCAGATCATGTGCCTCTGGACCACATGTCGGAAGTAACAAGTCATTCATATAACACTGTTCCAGGAGGACAGAGGGCAGCTGATCAGTGCCCTCAATATTTTCGTCAGACCCTACCTGTATTGACAAGTGTTTGTTTTAATGATGGAGGCTCTCCTACAACATTGGGTGGACAGCTATGATAACATTTTCTTGAAAGGACAGTGTGATCTCTGAACACGGTGCCTTTCTATTTTCAATCTAATTTGTTCATTTGTCCATATATACATGTATATATATATTAGATTTTCTTAAATCTCATGTTGTTTGACACATGGTGATCACGTCATGGTACATATCCAGGCGGGTGGAGGGCACGTTTTTCGATCTCCTTCTGTTCTCCTTTGGACAACCATCTTCTCTCGCCTGTTGTCGTGTTGTACTCATACATTCTACCTGTTTCTGAAAGAGTATGAGTGAATAGACTGAATTAGAACGAAGCTAGAAACATTGTCTGGCTAAGAACAGAAAAAAAATGTGATTTACCACGAGAATTATTCCCGTGCTACATTTGACAAAATATAACGGAAAGTGATACATGTATTGTGAGCAACTCAATAAAGTTAGATATTATTATTATTATTATTAAATAAAACACAACAAAATGCAATTTTAGCACCAGAACTATTTCCTTAGACTTTTGATAAAATATAACAAAAAGTGATTGTAAGTTACATGTAATATGTGTGACATAAAGACAGCAGTAATGTTTTGAAACTTACTCGGATCGACGGTCCTGCCGTCGAAGTGTCGGTTGGGCGTGACTCTCATCAAAGAACTGCGGACAGGTAACGGCTGGTTTTTGGTCTCGTATTGGGGTTCTTGCTGCTTATTCGGGATGAGAGGCGCCACGAGTCGTGGTTCCCGCGGTTCTCCCGTGCTGTGTTGTGACATGGCGGGCTGGGCCACCGCGCCGTACGGGGGAGGGTGCGCCAGGTCCCGCCGGTCCGTCTCGTGGCGTGGTGCGGTGTACGGTTTGGGCCCGCCCGGCTGCTCACCCCAATCACGATCCTATAAAGAAAAGAGAAAGTGAATTGTCTGAAAACATAAAATGATTTAGAGGATACATGTACGAATATTTTACCATCGACCTACTTTTCAAAAGTAAAACAAAGCATTTAAAAAAAGTTTCGTCGGAAATTAAAAAATAAACACTTCGACAATGCTGACCTCTTCTTGTTGTTGTACATTTCTCCCGTACGTTGTCTCTGGCGGGACGTGTCTTCTGGGGTTCTCTCCATATGCTGGTCTAGTCGGTCCTATATCAGCTGGCCGCCGAGGGGTTCTTGATATGCCCTGTGACGAAATAGCGGTGGGAAGTTTATCATGATTACCTTTTGAGCTGAAGATTAAGTGTTCGTTTGTAACTATTGTGTGGCAGTGGTTTCTATGTTACATGTTTAGTGCGTAAGTAGTTGCATTGGGCTGGTTTGTCAATAGTTCAGTTTCTTTAGAACACAATAATCATGTATTTCTTTCTCTGCCAGCGTTTCGTCTACCCACACTCTGCATTGTAAGGTAGCGACAATAATGTATTCTCGAACGTCACAAAGTGGTCCAGTCCCACGTTCGAGAACACATCATTGTCATACGTCACAAGGAAAAATAGTTCAGAACAACCTGCAGAAATTAGCCGAGAGGTTGTCGAAACGTTGAGTGCAGAAACTTTTTGTTACTTTAGAATTCATCCTTTTGCTGATAATCTAATGGCAAGATTTGGATCTGTTGTCCTAATATAAGAAATGCAGAAAGACTGAAGTTCCTTACCGTATGGATAGGAAGAACCTGTGAATGTCCTCCTTTTTTCTTCGAGCTGGTCGCTGGGAAGAAACAAACATGCAATATTGATATTCGAGCTTTGGTCATAACATACCTTTTAAAAATGAAATAAATTGCCAAATAGCTATTTTTGTCATTTGACGATACCACGTAATTTTTCCATGCGTGTTCTTGAATTCCCAACAAAAACTAAACATTTTTTGGGGGAAAATCTTAATTAAAGAGGTTGGAATAGAACATTAAAACAACACTTACGTCTGTCTCTCTCCCACCCTTCTCTCACTCCAGACTTAGACTTCTTATTGATTGGATGTTTCCTGAAAAAAGGAACAATTACCGTCATTGAAGACACGCGTCTACATTTCAAACAAAATCTGTTCATAGCAATAGTCAACAGAGTTGGTCCGATCGAGCTGACAATGGACCAACTCGTCCTTATCCGTTTTATTCCGCCATGTTTAAATTATGGCAAGCACAAGCAAGCAAGGCTTTACCATTGTCACACTGGGAAGAGAAGAGCCTTTAGTACCTCTTTTTCCTGCCTCTGAACGTACAGCAGCAGGCTATGACAGCGAACAGCACGACCAGTAGCCCCGCCCCCACGGACACCACCACGATCCCCGTCACCGTCTGTATCCACAGCACTGTGGTCTCCTCCTGGGGGTACTCCGCCACGGAGGTGATGCCAAAATCAGCCAGACTGGAGTCTGTAACATAGAGAACATGCATCGTGTTACTTCCATCGTACTGTTGTGTTTGTTTGGAAAGAGGTGGAAAGCTGGTTATTAGTAGATTTGGGGCACCACTTCTTGACCATGCAAATTCGACATCTTGTATATGGTGCTGGCGGGGTTGCTGATGTTTGATGTTTTGTTAGATATCCATTAGATTAGATATCAAATCTAATCTATTCTTCCTGGATTCATAAAAAAAAGGCACACAAATATAATACAAATTAAGGCACATGCTGGGCTTTTCCCTTTCTCGATCGTCTTTCCATCCCATGAAAAGGCACCAAGACTTTATGTTAGATCATGTCTTTTAGATACAGAAAACCAGTAGTGACTCTGTGAAAACTTTCCAAACATCTGCTGAGGATAAAAAGAATGATTTCACCATTACCTGACAGCATCGCGCTGTCGTCAGCCCGGAGCATCTCCAGCACCCTGGAGGCCGGCAGGAACGCCTTGTCCTCATCCAGGCCGGTGATGAAGTCTGTCGTGGCGTTGGACGTCTCTACGTACACGTACACCGTCACGTGGTTACTCCTGGGATTATGAATGACATCATGAATAAAGGTATGCAAATTTATCTACACACCACATAGAGACATTTACATTAATCCAGCCCAATGCAAGAAATCGGAGTCTTCTGCCAAGGATGCACTCCGCGGCTTCCTGAATTCCCATTCTGATTGACTCCTGGTCAGATTTTGAGATCTTTGATGATCCTGTCTGTCAATCTTCAGGACAGATACACAAACCCACATCTCAGCCACCCAAAACAATACTTCTGTACTAACCAATATTCTCTCTGTTGCCCGAACTTGTACCCAATGCCAACCTGGTGCCAAATGGCAGCATGCAGCGGTACCAGACACACAAGATGTTAGAATTGAACCTACGGTATGTTCGAAGCTGTCGTCTGGAGCAACTCTCTGCGTCTTCGTGCCGACGTCGTCACCTCCCTCTCAACATAGTGGGACATTCCGACTGTGCAGGACGCGCAGTTCGATTGGATCGCCGTCTGCAGGGCCCGCAAAAACTCGCCTTGTCTCGCGAGAAACTCGTCCACGGTCATGGTCAGCTCCATGCTGACGAGAGTTGTGACGGGGTCAAAGGTGTCGATCCGAACGGTGGCGACCGGGGAGGACGTCAAGGGAGGTATCCCAGCATCACTTGCGCTGACGTAAATGACGTATCTGGTGTCGGCCGACAGCGTTAGTCTTGTGATGACACCTGGAGGTAGAAGGTATATGTTGAACTAGCTACCAAAAGGTTCCAATATTGAATGTTTACTGCTTGAACAACCTTCCTTGTAACATTTGTGAAAGCCCTTTAAGCAGTAGCTTGCAAGGAGCCAGTATAGCTGGTATGTCCTTGAAGTCGATGAGTTGAACTAAGGGAATTTACTTTTACAGGATATATTTAAACTTTTTTCCTTACAACTATCTTATGTAGACACGGAAAACTTACCTGACGTGGGATCGACTCTGAAGTTCGTTGACGATTCAGTCAGGCTGAACGTTATTTCCGCGTTCGTCCCTTCGTCTTCGTCAGTCGCCGTAAGAGTCACTATTGCTTTGGACGAGTCGTAATCTGTTGAGAGTTCGATACTGTAGAACGTCTGCGTGAACACCGGTTTGTTGTCGTTGACGTCAGCAATAGTGATGTTGACGTCAGTTTCAGACGACAGACTTGGCGACCCAGCATCCGTCGCTATGACGACGAAGTCGATGAACGGCTCGGTCTCCCTGTCGACAGACTCTCTGAAAGTGACCACTCCGGTGGTTTCGCTGATTCGGAAGTACCGCGTGGCCTTTACTCCGTTCTTTGCTGGATCAGACGATATGGTGTAGACTATGTCAGAATTGGTGCCTACATCGCGGTCTGTTGCAGAGACCTTTATAACAGTGTTTCCTGGCTCAGCGTTTTCTGCCAAAGCAGCCGTCAAAGTGTCGTTGTTGTTAAAGATTGGTGCATTGTCGTTGACGTCAGAGACGGTGATTTGTACTGTGACGTCACTGAACAAAGATGGCGTCCCGGAGTCCTCTACTCTACAAGTGATGCTGTAGTCTGCGATGGTCTCCCGGTCGATGTTGGCCTTAGAGGCGGTTGATATCCTCCCTGTGTTTGAATTTATCACAAAGTGTTGTGAATCGTCTGTGATGATTGAGAACGTTAATGCAGCATTTGAATTGATGTCGTCATCACTTGCACTGACGTCACCGACAGACGTACCTCCGGCAACATTTTCGTCCAGTGTAAAAGAATAAAGATTCGAGTCGAATACCGGAGTGTTGTCGTTTTCGTCTTCAACAGTAATGGTAACTGTAGTGTCATTGGTGAAAGACGGATCGCCGTTGTCTGCGGCTTGAACAGTGAGGGTGTACGAGTCTATAGCCTCCCGATCTAGGGTTTGCACAGTCCGGACAACTCCCGTGGCGGCGTCGATCTCAAAATGTCCGGCCTGGCTTGCGGATGTAATGCTGTACGTGATCTCCGCATTTTCGTCGACATCCTCGTCCGAAGCGATGACCTGGACCACCGACGTGTCCGCGGAGACGCCCTCGCTGACGGACGCGGTGTAGCTGGCCTGCGTGAGGACAGGCGGGTTGTCGTTCACGTCCAGAACGGTGACCAGGACGGTGCCGCTGCCGGTCAGGTTTGTAGGGGTGCCGCTGTCGGTTGCTGTGATGGTCAGCGTGTAGCTTTGGGTGAAAAATGAAGAATACGAAATTAGAAGACCCAGAATGATAAACAAAGCATATGAAGTACACTTTAATCTTGATAGAAATAGACCATTACGTGAGTGGCAAAAGTGGCTGAGGTACCGGCAGTTTAGGACATCCAGAGCAGTCTGTGCTCATAAGCACATGGCAGATACGTAAAGCATGTAATATTTTGCTAGATATGATTAGTCAGATGGTTCTCGCCATTAAAGCCAATTAGGATAATATAACTTACCTCTCAATTGCCTCTCTGTCTAAGGTGCCCGCAGTTCGGATTGTTCCCGTCGAAGAGTCTATGGTGAACTGGTTGTTGTCATCGCCTTCCAAGATGGCGAAAGTTAGCAGCGCATTCGTCGACTCGTCCGGGTCCAAGGCTTGTACGGGGGTCACCAGGGTTCCCACCGCCACGTTTTCCAACACGCTCAACGCGTATTCTAAAGGAACGAATGTCGGGGTGTTGTCGTTCAAATCGTCGAGGTAAATCTTTACTCTGCAGAGGGATGATTTGGCAGGACTTCCGCCGTCCATCGCTTGTATGACGAGGTTGTTGAGTGCTAGAGTCTCTCTATCCACGTCTGCGCTGGTGGAGATCAGCCCCGTGGTAGAGTTTATGTCAAAGTACGCCATGCCGTCACCGGAAACAATTGAATACGTCACTTCTCCGTTTCCGTTCAAGTCGGGGTCAGTTGCAACAACGGTCGTAATGTTTGAGCCAACCGGTATGTTTTCGTCGATGTTGACAGTGTATACTGCTTGTGTAAACGTTGGTTTGTTGTCGTTCACGTCTGTGACAATGGCGGTTATGATAATGACGTCCGTCAAGGTGCCACTGTCGCTCACTTCGCCGTCGTACACAGTGATGTTAAGGACGTACTCATCAAGTGTTTCCCGGTCGAGATAAGACCCTAGCGTCACAACGCCGGTTGCGGAGTCTATGACAAACGTTATTCCGTATTCGTCTTCGTCAGATGTCACGACGTACGTCAGTTCGCCACCGTCCCCGACGTCTGCGTCGGTGGCACTGGCGTTGTATATCCGCGTCCCCACGGCGGCGTCCTCGGAGACCCACACGGTGTTCGTACCGTTATCGAAGACCGGAGAGTAGTTGTTCTCTGCCAGAACGTTCACCACGACGTTGGCTGTAGATGACAGCGGAGGGACGCCGAGGTCGGTCGCAGTCACGGTCAGAGAGAAGTAGCTTCGCACAGAATGGTCCAACCCAGACGCGAGAACCAGAATATTTCCGCTGAGGTTGAACGTGCCGTTTGTGTCGCCAGCGGTGATGGCATACTCCAACACGCTGCTGTTTCCCAGATCGGCGTCGGTTGCCGTCAGCTGCAATAGCTGTGAACCCACCGCTGCACCTTCCAACACGGAGGTGGTGTACACAGAAGGCGTTAAGACCGGGTTGTTGTCGTTCACGTCTTTCAAGGTGATGTTCACTGTTGTAAAATTGCTCAGCGCCTGTGACGAGTTCGCCGGACTGTCCATAGCTTTGATGGTAAGCAAGTAGGAGTCTGTGGATTCTCTATCGAGTGGCAAAGCGACTGCTATCTCTCCTGAAACTTCATCGATGACAAATTTCTGCTCGGCGTTTCCGTCCTCGATGCTATATACGACTGTACCGTCGGGACCCGAGTCTGAATCAACGGCAGACACGGAGATTACCGACGTGCCTATCGAGACGTCTTCGGAAATGACGACATCGTACCCTCCCGAAGGAGTGATGATTTCTGGTGTATGTTCGTTTACTGCAAGGACCTGCACGTACAGCGTGGCGGTGCCCGTCAGAGGCGGAGTCCCGCCGTCTGATGCCGTAGCCGTCAGGACATACTCTGTGCTGGTCTCGTAGTCCAACGAGTCCTGTAGAATAATCTCTCCACCGTCGTACGTCACGTTGAATTTCGATGCGTCATTTCCGGCGGAAATGAGGTACGTCATTTCCGCGTTGGTCCCGTCGTCGTTGTCGATACACGTGAGCTGTGTGACTGCAGCTCCAACCAAGGTGGACTCCAGCAGGGACATGTAGTAGACATGAGGGTCGAACACTGGTGGGTTGTCGTTCACGTCTAACACGGTGATGTTCACCAAGGTCGTAACGTTGTATTGGACGCCAGAGCTGTCCTCGCTGTCTGTTGCCATGACAACCAAGGAAAAGACCTCAGTGGTTTCTCGGTCGACGTTTTCCTTGAGACTCAGAGTTCCTGTGTTTGGGTCCAGGCGGAAGACGTTACTGTCATCTCCGCTGACGACAGCATACATGATGTTTCGCTCGTAGAGATCGTCGTCTGTGGCCGATACTTTGCCCAGTGTTGTACCGATGGCAGCATCCTCGGAGACGTTGAAGGAGAAGGACGCGTCTGTGAAGGTGGGTGCAAAGTCGTTGTCATCCGTGAGCTTGACATGGACTGTCACACTGCCAGTCAGCATCGGGTCTCCTCCGTCTGTGACTATGAGCTCCAATACATAAGTGGGCGTCGCTTCTAGATCTAGTGCCAATGCCACTGTTATGCCTCCCGTTGTGCTGTTCACGGCAAAAGAGTTATTCGTGTTTCCTGAAACGATTGTGTGTGACAGCGCCGCGTTGACCCCCTCGTCCTGGTCAGTGCAGTTCACGCTTCCCACCGCAGAACCTACCGCCGCCCACTCGGAGACCGACAGGGCCAACAGGGCCGGCGAACACACGGGGTTGTTGTCGTTAACGTCAGTCACGGTGACGTAGACCGTCGTCGACCCGGTCAGAGGACCTGGGTTTTGTCCCTCGTCTGCTGCCAGGAGAACCAGCACGTATTCGGGAGTATCCTCTCTGTCAAGGTCTCCAACGGTCCGCAAGGTACCTGTTGTTCCGTCTACGGCGAATTTGCCTGCGTCGTTACCGGATGCGATTGAGTAAGATATCGCTCCTGTGGAATGAAAGGAAACGGACTGACAATGAACAAGAGCAATGTGTTGTCGGCAATGTGTGAAATGGCTCTCCACTGAAGTATACTAGTGTTACATGTACATTTTGGTACTTGTCTTTTCTGTATTTGTAGTCTTTACCCCCCCCCCCTTTCGATGTAATCAAAGATGATGTGAGTGCTCACCATCGGCTCCGTCGTCCGTGTCTGTCGCAGTCTCCTGCAGCAGGGTGTACCCCAGGGTAGCGTTCTCGGCCACGCTGACGTTGTAGGAGTCAGCTGGGAAGGAGGGTGTGTTCTCGTTCACGGGCTGTATGGCAACGTCGACGTTGACGTCAACTGTGTGGTCGCCATCGCTGACTTCCACCGTCAGGTAGTACGTCTTGTTGATGGACTCGTAGTCCAAGGTGTGTCCTACAAAGCGACAGAAACAACACTTTCATCATACTACGATTTCCCCTAATGTCAAGTCATATTTTGATCTCCATAGGCTACTGAAGTTACTACAGTCTTGTCATTATTTGATAAAATTGGTCACATATTTCTATATCATTTTCTGCTCATTTCCCATACAAGTACTTACCTGCTAAAACAACTATGGTACCACCCTTGGTTATTTCGAATGACGGTCCGAAGTTTCCGGAGACGATACTGTACGACAGGTTTGTTCCCGAATCGACGTCAGAGCAATTCAGAGCCGCCACCTGAAATAGTTTCAAACGTTAAGAGACGCCAATGTTAGATCTGGTCAGAATACAAAAAATTGCACCCAAGCTTGTCCAAATGTTGGCAACTAGTATAAGTTTACCAAAGTTAGCTCCGAAAAGCAGTTGCTAAGAATTATGTAACCCTACCGTCGTTCCGTTTTCCACGTCTTCGTCAATCCACACGACTAGAAGGTTATCTTCACACTGGGGAATGTTGTCGTTGACGTTGTTGACTGTAACATTGACTGTGACAGACGTACTTCTCTGGTCAACTCCGAATCCTCCGTCTACGGCCTGAACTGTCAACCTCACCACCTTTAGACAGAAGGTATGCAATATTTTAATGAGTGGTGTTTGTGAATTGTACAATGTCCTAATGTTTGTTGGAAATGTTACGACGCGTTAGGTAATGCCCTCTATATCTTCACCACAAGAGGGACTCTTAAGAGCATTAAGGCCAATATCAATATCAATGCCTAACTGAACGACGTACCTTAGACTCGCCCATAGTGTCGTAGTCTAATTGTGAAACCAGCTGAATCACTCCGTCCTGCGGGTCGATGCTGAAATGCCCCGTCAGAAGACCAGGATCCGTACCTAAGGACAACAAATATATAGATTCTGCAGCGCTCTTAGGCAGAGACATATCTCGGGAAATACTCAACTGTAGTTTATCAAACGAAGGTGTCGTTCTTACCTGTAATAGTGTAGGATACGTCCCCATGTAACTCTTTGTCATCGTCCGTTGCTGTCACGACCACGACTGTTGTCCCAACTGTGGCGTCTTCGTCAATCTAGGTTGAAAATTGTCATTTGAAAATGCACAGAAAGAATAGAATAATCTGCAGGAAAAGGTTGGCAATAGCAAAAATATCACATTTATACACATTAAACACTATTGTGGAATTCAACAAATGATGCCTCTTACCGAAACGTTGGATGGAGTAGAAGGGGTGAACTCTGGGTCATGTTCGTTCACTGCTGTCACCTGTACATGTACAGTCGCCGTGCTGCTTAGTCCTGGCGTCCCGCCGTCCGTCGCAACCACTGCTAGGCTGTATGACGTCGTCGTCTCAAAGTCGGCCTCCTTGTCGAGGGAGATTGTTCCGTCTGACGATATGTTAAAGATACCTTCGTCATTTCCGGCGGATATGAGGTATGAGAGCTCCCCGTTGGCGTCCACATCCGCATCAGTACAGTTGAGCTGCAGAAGTGACGTTCCGACCGGTGTAGACTCGAGGACGGAAATGAACGTTGCGGCTGTGTCGAAGGTCGGTGGGTTGTCGTTCTCGTCGACGACCGTGATGTTGACCCATACAGTTGCATTTCGGCACGTCCCAAAAGAGTCTCCGCCGTCGGTGGCTAACACTTCGAGCCTGCACGAAGTGACAGCTTCTCTGTCTAAGTGTTTTGCGATGGAGATGACCCCAGACACCGGGTCTATACCAAACGCTGTCCCATCATTGCCAGATAGAAGCGAGTACGTCACAGCTCCCTCTTCGTCCATGTCCTCGTCACTAGCCACGACTTGGCCCACTTCCGTCCCGATTGGCTCACCTTCGCTGACGTTGAAGGAGTAAGAACTTGCGCCGAACGCCGGGTCAAAGTCGTTGACGTTGGTGACGGTGACGTAAACGGTCGCCGTTCCCATGAGGCGTAGCGCACCAGAGTCGCTGACTTGGACTTCCAAAGCGTAGAAGCTTGTAACCTCAAGGTCAAGATTTCTGGCAATTGTTATCCTTCCAGAGGTTTCATTGACTGCAAACGTCTCGTTGCTGTTGCCGGCTGTTATGCTGAATGCCAACTCCGCGTTTTCGCCGACGTCATCGTCAGAACACGTTACCATGGCAACGGAGGAGTTGACGTCAGCGCCCTCTGATACGGAGACAACATAGAACGACGGGGAGCAGACAGGTGTGACGTCATTCACGTCCGAAACCGTCACAAAGACTGTGGTAGAGGCACTCCTTGTCGGAGAGACGCCGCCATCTTGTGCGACAATGGTGAGTGTGTAGGAGGACGTCATTTCTCTATCCAGCGGTGCGACGGTCTGTAAGGCGCCGGTCTCTGCGTCTACAGCAAATTTTTCGTCCCCTTTTCCTGCCACGATGGAAAACGTGACCTCCCCTGTTGGACAAAAAGCATATTAATTTAGTCCGTGTGATTTATATGTCTTGGGATCTTCATTACGTTGGAGAACAATTTATTAGAACCATTGCAACGGATTCCTCAATACACATACTAGTATGTTATGGATGTTTGGGACTATATTGAACATGTTTGAACAAGATACAGACTTTCAGCGTCACTCTCTCAGTACCCCTAATAGTCCTTGGATTCCTGTACGTACCGTCCGTCCCGCTATCGGCATCGCTGGCCGCCACCTGCAGCAGAACCGTCCCCGCCGTGACGTTCTCCTGTGCGCTGACGTTGTACGACTCTGACGTAAACACGGGGTTGTGTTCGTTGACGGGCTGCACGTCGATGGTGACGGTGACGTCAATAGAATGCTCGCCGTCACTGACGGCAACGGTCAGGATGTACGTGGTGGTACTCCCCTCGTAATCTACTGTGTTGCCTGCAAGACAACGGTGTCGTTAAGTCAGGTAATGTATAGTACAATCTCATTTATTGTAAATTGCTCTTGTTACTCAATTTGCAAACATTTCTTAATAAATTCCATAGGCATCAGAGAGTGGCACTGAAACAATCGTGGATATTTTCGTGCCCTGTATAGGTATGTGGGACGTAAAAAGAACCTTTGAACTGGAAGAGAACATGAATTTGAAACATGAATAACATTTAGTTGAAATGTCTTACCGGAAGTCAGGAACACTTCCCCCGATGAGCTGACGTTAAATGAGCCCGAGTCTCCGGAAGTGACGTTATAGGACAGTGCCGCTGACGTGTCCACGTCACTACAGTTCAGGGAGGCAACCTATTTGGATATAGAATACACAATTTTGTTTTAGGTTGAACTAAAGAAAGGATTTCTTACTTTGCTTACCACATTGAGAAATCATCAATCATCGTCATCCTTCCAAGGGTACATACCATTCTAATTACTAGTAAAAATTTGCCCTCGACAGTGTTAACTATATTCTTTGTTTTGTATACTGACCACTGTCCCGCTAGCGGCGTTCTCGTCCATGGCCACACTGACCAGTCTCTCCACACATGTTGGCGTGTTGTCGTTCACGTCGTTGACGGTGACGTCCACCGTGGTGTTGGCGCTACGCTGGTCGGCACCTGAGGCTGCGTCTGCCGCCTGCACTGTCAGGGTTACCACCTTATGGAAAAATATCGACTACATCTCAGACCAATATAATATAGCAAACAAAATCATCTATATTGTTGTAAGCGATAAGTTTGAAGTAGATTAATTAATTTAGAACATATTTCTATAAGAAAATTGCACAGTACCTTGTCGGACCCCATAGTGTCGTAGTCTATGGGTGAGGCCATCTGGATGACACCACTGCTAGAGTCAATGCCGAAATGCCCGGCAATGCTGACCGGATTCGTGTCTGGGTGGGGAAAGAACATTATGAATACTTCCATACTGCTCACACAAACGTCTTAGTCCAAACATTTCCAATGCCTTGGTCTAGATCTGTACCTGTGATTAAAGAAGATAAAGAAGGAAAGAAGACTCACCAATGAGTTTGTACGTCAGTTCACCGTCGGCACTGACGTCCTCGTCTGTTGCTGACACGATGGCGATTGTTGTACCAACAGCAGAGTCTTCATCGACCTAAAGTAAACATGTTCATACCATGCGTTAAATAGTATATCGCGATTTGTAGCTTCCGTCTTCGCGTCTTCGTGGGAGCGTAGAAATTCAAAGTACCCATAGATTGAAGTGGATGAGGTTGCCGAATATGAATTTGTGATGCAGGTAAAACCAACAAAATCTATAGATGACCAAACATTTTATGAACACTTACAGATACGTTTGTCGGTGATGTAGGGTCGAAGACTGGGTCGTGTTCGTTCACTGGCGTCACCTGGACGTACACCGTCGCCGTGCCGCTCAGCTGTGGCGACGTCCCGCCGTCAGTCGCTACCACCGTCAGGACGTGAGCCGTGGACGTCTCGTAGTCTAAAACGTCTGCAATGGAGACCACACCGTCGGACGACACGTTGAACAGGCCGGCGTCATTTCCGGTGGATATGGTGTATGTCAGTTCTTGATTCATTCCCGCATCAGAGTCGGAGCAGTTCAGTTGGGCTATTGGCGTGCCGGGCGCTGTGGACTCGGGAACAGTGGTGTACACTGCGGCGGGGTCAAACGTAGGAGTGTTGTCGTTGACATCATCTACTGTAATGTCAACAGTGGTGGTGGACGTTCGATAGGTTCCCAAAGAGTCTCCGCCATCTCTTGCCTGTACTTCAATAATGTATGAACCTGTGGTCTCTCGGTCTAACGCGGTTGCTGTAGAAATGACGCCGGTGAAGGAATCGATCCCAAAGACGGCATCGTCGTTTCCGGACACGATGGAGAACATAACATCATCTTCTTCATTCACATCCCCGTCAGTCGCCGACACTTGTCCGACAGAGGTTCCTACTGTGACGTTTTCACTCACGGTAAACGAGTAGGACGATTCGGTAAAGTTCGGAGCGAACTCGTTCACGTTCGTCAGCGTGACGCAAACTGTCGCCGTTCCGGTGAGTTGACCCTGTGACCCTGAATCCGAAGCTTCTACGATCAACGTAAAGGCGCGAACATCTTCTAAATCTAAACTGTTCTTCACCGTTACGTCACCTGACGTAGGGTTCACAGCGAAGCTGTCATTCGAGTTCCCGGATGTGATGGCGTAGGCAACAGCTGCGTTGTCGCCAACGTCATCATCAGTGCACGTCACCGTCACTACCGTGGAACCCGCCGCCGTGCCTTCAGATATGGACGCCGCGTAGAATGACGACGAGCATACCGGTTTGTGGTCGTTGACATCAGTCACGGTCACCGTTACGGTCGTGGTGCCAGTTCTGGGTCTGGGTGACTCGCCGCCATCTTGTGCGGTAAGGACCAGGGTGTATGACGCAGTCGTCTCCCTGTCCAAGATGGCGGCGACCTGAATCTCTCCTGTCGATGCGTCTACAGCAAACTTTCCGTCAGCGTTCCCCGACGCGATGGCGTAGGTTAGCACACCTAACAAGGATCAGACACATGCATAGTCATATGATGAATTGTGATATTTTAGGATTAGGAATGCTTATAATGTCTTCTGATGCCCAATATCACCAATCTCAAGTTTTTCTTACGGTTTTATTCGTTCAATATCTTAATAGGCTACACTTCAGCACTCCCATCTCTACACTACAGCACTCCCATCTTAGAAGCTTAGAAGAGATGGAAGCTTTGTAGATGCAGTGGCCACGTGAAAACATAGTTGATGGGAGAGAAATATTCTGTATTTGCTAGCATCTAATGCTAGTACATAAGACTGTTCACCGTCCGTCCCGTTGTCTGGGTCTGTAGCCACCACCTGCAGGACAGCTGTCCCGGCAGTGGCGTTCTCCGCCACACCGACGCTGTACGAGGTCTCCGGGAACGCCGGCTCATGCTCGTTGACCGGCTGAACGTCGACGGCCACCGCGGCTTCGACGGAATGGACGCCGTCACTGACTTGCACGACTAGACTGTAGGAGGTCGTGGCGGACTCATAGTCTGCTGTGTGTCCTGTGTCCACGGTAGGAATGCAGTTAGTGGGATATATAGTGGGATACTTTGAAGGGATAAGTCCGTATATAGAAGCTGTTAACTTCATGTATATACATATCAAAATAGGGTGATGGTTGTGTTTCCCTCCTACCGTTTTCCGTTTCCATGTAGTGCTGATGACATGAATTGCAATTTGAATTCTTACTCAAAATGTTCTAATTTAGAATCTAAAGGTCGGACAGGGGTTTGTAGATTAGTACATCTGTCAGTCTTACCTGTGGCGAGGGTAACTACTCCCGATGAGCTGACTTCGAACGACGGTCCGGAATTCCCCGCTGTAATGCTGTAAGACAACGTGGTCGACGTGTCCACATCCGAGCAGTTTAAAGACGCAACCTGTATAAACGTAACAAAAGTGAGCAGAAGAATAATCCACGTGGAAAAGACTCACAAAGAGAAGAAGCCTTACAGAAGCAAGCTTATCAACAATTTTTAATTTACCACGGTCCCGTCCGCAGCGTCCTCGGCCAGTGTGCCGCTATAGAGACTCGGGGTGCAGACAGGCCGGTTGTCGTTCACGTCGTTCACGGTGACCTCCACGGTAGTGTTGGCGCTCCTCTGGTCCGAGCCTGAGCCGCCGTCTGCTGCCTGGACTGTTAGCGTCGCCGTCTGGCGATAAGAAGAACAGGCTAGTTACCGAGTCTCACCGAGGTAGGTCTTTGCTGTTACAAACAACTTGTTCGTACAATCAAGGAAAGTGCATATAAAGCAAACGGCAAGCAATGATCACCTTGGTGACACCCATGGTGTCATAGTCCACCTGTGACGTCATCAGGACCTCCCCGCTGGCGGAGTCGACATGGAAGTGGCTAGAGAGTGACGTAGGACTGACGTCTGCGTGTGGAAAATGTATTATTTGTGGGTGTTCACATATAGAATTGGTAGCAACTCTCTGTTTGGAAGTGATCTTAATAAATCTCCAAAGTTTGGTTAAGTAACCACCCTTACCGATAATGGAGTAACTGATTTCTCCTTGTGTGCCGAAGTCGTCGTCTGTCGCCGTCACCGTGGCAACGGTCGTTCTAATTAGGGCATCTTCATCAATCTGTGCAACAAAAGAAATTTTTATATGATATGATATGATATGATATGATATGATATGATATGATATGATATAAAAATCTTAGTGAAATAAGAGATAATATACAGCAAGTAGTGGAATATACATACGTTCCACTGCCGACTTACCGAAACAGCAGTTGTACCCGAACCGGTGAAGGTAGGGTCGTGCTGATTGGTCGGTGTGACGGTGACGTAGACTGTGGTGGTGCTGCTGAGGACCGGAGTCCCTCCGTCCGTTATCCTGACAACCAGAGTGTACTCCCCCTCGTCTGGAGTGGCAGAGTCCAGATCTACAGAAATGATGTATCGACAAGGTATTGTTAAGTACACGACTCTATTTGAAAACGGTCTGTACAAATTGAAAATATTTCGAGTAATGAAAAGGACAGTTCCTTACACAACCAAGTGCACATTTTGCGTAAACTGTCCTGAACAAACAAAAAACAAAGACAACAACCTTGCTCTCCTTCACTCAAAGCACCCTACCTATGACATTCTTGAGTTCCACATCGTTGGCGTTAGTCGTGCCAAACTGGAACTTGTCGGCGTCGTTCCCGGAGACGAACTCGTAAGAGACGGCGCTACTCGAGTCTGCGTCTGACACCGCCAGCGTGACGACACTGGTCCCCGCGGCGGCGCCTTCCTGCACGGCGGCCGTGTAGAGAGTCCGGGTGAACGCCGGCGGGTTGTCGTTAACGTCGGTGACATTGACGGTGAGCGTGGAGGTGGCGGACTGACTGGGGTCGCCGCCGTCTTCTGCCTTTAACGTCAGTTCGTAGCTGGAGACCGTCTCGTAGTCCAGGCTGCCCATGATGGAAACGGCGCCGGTCGAAGAGTCGACGTGGAAAATGTCGCTTCCGTCGTCTGAAAAGAAATGATGCACTGTAATCCCCAACAGGCTTTACGACATTACATTGGCAAACTTCAACTTGAACGCTATCAAAAAACAAGACAGGTCAGAAGAAGGTTACAATCCTCCCATCTATCCTCAGCTTGTAGAGTATATGATTCAAACTCCAAAAAGGCTACAGTAGAAACCGCCCGAATCCGTTGTTGTTGTTGTTAGTTTGGACAACAGTGTTGTTTACAGTAGTACCACGACATTTTCGTTCCTGTTGCTTACCTGTAGCAGCTATGATGGAGAAGCTGACGGCCCCGTCAGCGCCCTTGTCTCCGTCTGTCGCGCTCAGCTCGGACAGGATCGTGGTGCCGACGGGCGCGTCTTCGTCAACCGCCACTGAGGACGTAAAACTTGTGAACGTCGGCGCGTTGTCGTTTGTTGACGTCACCTGAAAACATAAAGCTTGCAGTTTTAATGATCATTCCTGTGGAACATTGATGGACGAAGGTGTGTAATGTTGCTCTGTTTAAAAGTAGTTGTGGTCATGATTCAAGAAGTTGTGAAATCGGATGAAACGGTAGATGAGACGCAACACGTGTTAGAAACATAGTACTGTATCTTCTAGTTCCAGTTTGCTCATCTGAACGTTTCTCTGCAGAATATATATTTGCGTCGTCCACGTGACATTCATAGACGTGACATATCTTTAAAAGCCATTCAGATATTTTTTGAAGGAAATGTAAGGAAAATTGTGCCATGATTCGGAAAAACGTAAATGCCCCCTACCGCCACGACGACTGTCGCAGTGCTGGTGAGCCTGTCCGCGGCGTCGGTGGCCTGGTCCGTGACGCTGACGTGCAGAACGTACCGGAAACCGGCCGTCTCCATGGCGTCGGTGTCGTAATCCACCGCCGTGGACGATGTCTTAATTTGACCCGTGCTCGCCTCGATGGCGAATTTTGCGGTAGTGTCGTCGCCACTGACGATGGAGAAGGCGAGGTTAGAGTTCACGCCGTCGTCTGGATCGGTACAGCTCAGCAGCGCAACGGATGCATCTGTGGAAATGTGATCAATAATTAGTACCGCGCTTAATTAACTTCAGGATCCATCAACCATCCGTCAAGTAGCGATACGAACTTCCAGGAACCTTTAACCCATTCTCGGGGTGACCTGTCTCATGTCTGTTTAATATAGGCCACGTGTCTAGGAGAAGGCGGCTATAGACTTGGATAAAGTATTCACCACTTACACAATCATAAGACGTTAAAACAAGCCGATGCCATCTACACATCTGCTTGGAGATTAGTAAGCCCCCCACCAACCTGCTGCAGTGTTCTCCTCCACCGAGCTGTAGTACACGTCAGGATCGCAGGTGGCGCTGTTATCGTTGACGTCGTTGACCGTGACGGAGAGCGTGGCGGTGCCCGTGTTGCCGGCCGTGTCCGTGGCGGTGAGGACGAGCGTGTAGGCCGACACACCGTCCGCTCCGTCCCGCTCCAGCACCCTGGCGGTCGTCACCACACCCGTGTTGCTGTCAACGGCGAAGTGGTCGTTGTTCGTTCCTGCATTGGTGGGAAGAGGGGGAAAGTGTTTCAAATATCTGTATAGCCGACATTACCGCTCTTCGGTGTGACATAGCAGCTTCGCAGGCACGCGACAGTGACTGGATGGTCCATATCGTTTTCCCGTAACATAAAAGTTATTCTTTCGACTCGTTTTCCGAGTAACAGAAGGTACCGTAACCGTAACGTAAAACACGTTACCTGAAAGAGAGTACGAGATGGTGTCCCCATCGTCCCCGTCTGTGACGCTCACGGCGGCGTCCCACGTCACCGTGGTGCCGAACGCCTGGTCCTCGGCCACGCTGCCGGAATACGACGACGCCGAGAACGTCGGCAACTCGTCAATGACGTCATTAACGGTGACGGTCAGCGTGGACTCCGCCGACAGGGGGGTGCCTGACGTGTCGTCTTCGACTCTGGGAGGAGATATCGTTGGAATACTCGTTAGTGTGTATGCTGATGTCTATAGTTTTATCAACAATGATTCTTCTGGTCATATCCTGGTATCCATCCTATTCTAGCTCCTGTCACCTCTTTTGATCGTTTTCCTGTCGAATAGTCTGGAAACCATTAATAACGAAACAACCGATCTTTGAACATTTGCCTAAAATATAATCGAGAGGTCCTGTTGTCTCACAGCACTCCATAATTATAACGGGGATTTGTACATCTCAGTCAGGGTTGCTGGGCCAAGTTTTAAGAAGTGGCTGTTCACAGCAGTTCTCACCTGAGAGTCAGCGTGTACGTCTGTTCGCTCTCGTAGTCCAGCGCCGTCCCCACCTGCACCACGCCGCCGCTCAGCTGGAACTTGTCTGACGGCGTCTGGCTGACGATGGTGTACGCCAGGGTCTGGGCCGGTACGTCCTGGTCCGCGGCGCTCAGCGTGAAGACCGCCGTACCGACCGACACGTCCTCCGGCACGGCCCGGGAGGCGGGCAGGTTGGAGAAGGTCGGCGCTTCGGCAGCGTCCGTCACCATGATGGTCACGGTAGCCTGGTCTGTGGGGTGGAGATACAAACAGGCATCTTGGTTACTTTCCATCAAAATTTTCATGTAGTAATCATGACATTATAGAACTACATATGTAGACTTGAACTAGTCCTAAGAAAATCTTGTGTGAGTACAAGAATTGATCTAAACGGTATTGGATTAAAATTATTCTGTTCCCACTCCGATTCGATTATTTCTTGTTAAGTAAGCGAACTGAATAAGGTATTGACATCTAGATAGAAAAATCACAGATCAATGATGGAGCATGAGAAAGCGGTTTGACCTGTATCGCCATTGTTGTCGTTCGCCCGTACAGTCACCACGTACATGTTGGTAGTCTCGTAATCCAGACCGGAGGACGACGCGACGGTCACCTGGAGACATAGAACATGTCAAGATCGATCTTGTTTGATATAGCCTTGTACCCATCCTAGTCTAGCTCTAGGTCTCTCTTCTGATCACTAACCTCAAGACTAGTCTGACACTGGACACTAGTCCTCATTTGAAAGTTTTAAACCATTATGCACGGCATAATTTCAGGTATCGAACATTTCTAAGAAGCGGTGTAACGGAGGTCGAACTTCCGAATGCCTGTTCGAACCCGGTTACCATGCCGTTGCGAGGGCCGGGCGACTCGGAGCCAATCAGAACTCTCGCCTCTCCTCTATTACGTATGAATGTGTGTATGCATGTATGTTCTCGTACATCTTTTGGTATCTAACGCTACATGTATATCATAGAAACTTGGAATGTGATGGTGTTTATCTTTGTGTGTGTGTTTGTTTGTTTGTTTGTTTGTTTGTTTGTTTGTTTGTTTGTTTGTTTGTTTGTTTGAATCTTACCGCTCCCGTGGAGTCCACTTGGAAAGGTGAGCCGACAGGACTGACGATCTGGAACGGCGTTGTCCCGCCGCTGGTCGTCCATGTCACTGTGACGTCAGCAGACGTGATGACGTACTGACCAGCTGAGGCGTCCTCGCTCACGCTGTAGGACGCACTGCTGTACGTCAACGTCACCGCTGAGGCGGACAGAAAAGTACAGGCTTCATTGTCGTCCGTTATTCTTATGTATGAGTTACAGTAGTCTGAGTTCGGGCAGCGTTTCGTGTGAACCTTAAGGTAAGGCAATAGTTATTACTTGTAGTCGTATTTTCAGTGTTCTGTGCATCTTTCCTTTGGATATTTGAGCACCGCTTCTTTGCTTCATTCAGACTTTCTGTAGTTGTACTACTAAATATAGACAGCAATGAATAAACACAAAATGACCATGACTAAAACTGCTGAGGCCATAAAATATATAAAATACGGATTTCGACTGACTAGAGGTCTGTCGCAACTGTCATCAAAGCTACTGTTTCAAAGTATCTCAGATCGTGAATAGTCAAGTATCTTCCCTCACCCCACACTCCAACACAATAAAAAGCACCATGCATTGTATGGCGCCGACCCCGAATCAAGTCTTTATTAACATAAAAAAGCGAACTGTCGCTATGGAGACAGGCTGTAGTTTCACCCCAACAAGACAGAGGTGATTGACTTCTATCTAAAGGGTGCTGAAACGTCCGGGAGGACACAAAGACATGCATGGTCGTCTGATATCTGTCCTTTTGTGCCCAGCCCTGTTTCCATGGATACAAGACAAACTACCGATCACCCACAATTGAACATCCACCCGGCTCTTAAGGGCGCGTCATTGAAAAGCTTCTTAAGGTGTCACTCGTGCATACGAAATGCTTTCATACTTATCAAAACTTTTGTTTTCTGACACTTAGCTTCGGTAAAAGTTTTTACACATGCTGCAAAAGCACGCGTATAACAGGCGGTTGATACACTTTCAGCCACAGCAATTTAACGATTTTAGCGATTTTCGCCAAAAAGGCAAACGTTACAAGTTCTTGCTGACAGAAGACTGTTACTTATAAAACGCCTTTTGTAACAACCGCAGTAACTTATACAAGACACCCGACACGCCTTGTTCTGTTCTCTTTTCTTAAACACAAATAGAGAAATCGGTGTCTCCCGACCAAGCTGCCACAATCGGAACGGCTAATATTACAATGTAAACAACTAGAAAAGTGAGAAAGAATGTCCAGAAAGGCGATATACAACTTTTGTTTGCACAGACGACAACAGTATGTCTCTCCCCCCCCCCAACACACACACACTTGTGGTTCTAATGTATGATTTTCTCGTTGTTGCTGAGATCGCGACAACACTGCCTAATGTGTCCACCATGGTAACACAGCCCTACTACATTTCCACAAACTTGATACAGAAGATAAATACTTCTAAATTGCAACGTAAACACGGGCCAACACCAAGTTAGACGAAAAAGGGCATCAAAGTCATTAATCATTCTGAAGGTGACAGATGTGATGTAGACTGGTATACAGAAATCACGCACAGACTACAGAAATGTGCATGTCATTGCTAGCTTAGCACAAGACACAAGAGAGCTATGTTGACCATGCATAAGTCTCTTGTTTGATGGCTAACATTTCGTCTGTTTATAGCCCTTTCCACAGAGGCGCGGGCATTGAGTGATCAAAGCCTCCATCTTTAGTTCAAACGAGTTTCACAGACAGAAAGGTGTATTTTGTACGTTTTGTTGATTTTGTTGTCCTTCAAATCATACTTTTACATCATGGATCATATCCAATGCACATACAAATCTAATTTTGGTCACTCAACGGTCTCGATCCAGTGGTAAGGAGTGACCATATGTGACCGCACAGGTAACATGCAACACAGAGTCTGCACTGGCACATGTTGAGATATCGCTAAGGGAACAGAGACTCACACAGACCAAGGCGGTCAGAACCTGTGGTGTAAGGACCTGCATGTGGACGGGTGTTCCAACAAGCGGTCCCCTTGAACTACCTGATTCAGTCTGGAGGGAACTTTAGAAGTGACGGTTAACGGGTTAAACTTGGCGTTCTTGAGTGCTGACGTACCTTCTCGTGTTTTATGCCTCGGTGCATGTGTGTAGTTCTGCTTCATTAGCGAAATCTCCTCACAAATTAACCCATAATTTTGTAGTGACGCCATTAAACGTGACAACCCACGTATTGTACATTTGGGACAATATCTCAAAAATTAAATAAAAACGTAAGAAATTCCACCAATGATTGTGAAAGCACATTCAATTTCTTTTAGACATATGCCATAGTCTTTTGTAAGGTAGAATTTCTAAAAAAAAGTCTCATAGTACGTTTTTTATATAGCGGTATGAATGCCATACGTTGTACCTTGTATCATTTTGTGTGTACTAAATTCTATATCAATTTTTCTCAGGATAGAAATTGCGATTTGACATGCAGAATCGCACATTCTATGCCATATGCATTCGGACAGAGATCAGGATCAGTATACTAGAAATGTGTGTAAGGGTGGTCTCCTGTTCATGAATCCTACATTTGAAGTCAAACCGTTCATCTAAAGTAACATGAATCAAAGTGGAAACGCTTTCACTATCTCTAAAGGGAATATCTTAAGATTGACGGACGCCAATCGGGGTCCCTACTGCATGCAACCTCTACTCATATACACGATCAAGGACATCATACGTGTATAATGTCCTTGCTACGATATAATTAACTTCAAATGACTTGACTCCTGTACCCACTTTTCACTTGAAGAATTATCCGTAATACTAAAATGTGTAAAGAATTACCTGACAGAACAATTATAACATAACCTGAAAGCCCTACACATTGCGTCTGCATTTTTTTGAAACGTACACTTTAGTTGCGGACGATTTTTACCTCACAGACAAGTCTAATATGTACCACACCTGTTCACATGTGCCCAAGACCGTGGCCTGAGGCACTGAAAGGTTCACTTCACTATCAGAAAGAACCAGACACTTGTTTGATCAGTGCCGGCGCAGAAAAACTGACACCTCCTGCAGAGTCGATAGAAATTCCACAGGTCGGTCAAATGTGACTGATATATCTCGCCCCACCTGCACTTATTCTAGATATATGATATAAATGTAGGTCTTACCTGAACATACTGTCGTTAGGAGTAGAAGTAGCAGACATTGAAAGAAAATCCCAGTCATCTTACACGACATCTTGCGTTCCTAGATCACTTGTGTGCTCCATCGCGTTTAGTTGCTCGTAAACTCGGCCCCAGCGTGCTTCGACAGGTAGTCGTATAAGACATTCCGCCGTCTTCAGAAACTGTTAAGTACAAATCTAAAGAAGGTGAACTTCTAAACCAGAGCTCCACGTCTCCCCATTTCGTCATCAGGTCGCCAAGTCTTGAAAGTTTCTCGCTTCTTTCGCCAAGATGTCGCCATGGTTCGTTGGTGACGCGTGGGTGAGTACGTGACGATGGTAGTGTGTTACTCAAGGGCCCATCCAGGCATGCATTAATGGTGACACCCAATCCTCCAGGGAGGTCGCAGATTACTTACTTCAGGTGGTCGCTGCAGTGCTGCGGAACTCCACAGGAGGCGCTTCTGAGTGGTCGTTGCGCTGCCATTGCCAATGTGTGGTGGACTTGTACTAAATTCAGGTTTGGAGACGGCGTTGCAAATCTGTTTGGTAACTATCGCGTAAACAATGGAAAAGGGTTATTCCAGAACATCGCATGAACAGCGCAATGTTCGAACTGAGTTTGTTCCCTTTCGACTGGTGTTCGGCGAGGTGCGCCAGCCTATATTAGCGCCCCGGCCGAATATGTTTCAAAATGTTTAAAAATTCGTGTGTGGACGAGTGGTTTGACCATGGTTGGCTTGTGGTTGGGAGTAGGTCAGCAGTGTTCGGGGGTCAAGTTTGAATCAAATCTAACACAAATTCGATTGGATTCGTATAAAATGGTAGGCGTGACCTAAATCTGGTCAGGTGCCTGAAAATAAACTGATTTAACGTTAGTGAAAGTTCCGTGTGTATCACATGAGACCCACATGGAGTGCGATATACTAGCTGTCGAGTCATAATGACTTCATGCACTTTTTATTTCCGTCTCAGTATTTCCGTTTCACAATCGCAGGTTCAGTGGCATAGTGCATTGTTCTAAACAAAGTTCGTTGTGATCATAGTTCGTTGTGATCCACTCTTCTTTAGCTTAATCAAAGTTTTCAAATGCTCAACATTTAGGTGATAAGATTTATGTACATCTTCCTTGTACAGAGTATAAAACAAGAACAACCTCCCCTGCGGTTGTCAAGAATGGACTGACCCACCCTCGCGCGTGACGAGCGATGACGTAGTCTAAATACACGCTTCAATGAATGTTTGTCCTTTGGGGGTCAAACTCGCCGAGCCGGTTGTGGAGTAGGGCCACGTTCTGGGGTCACAGTCCTATACTCTCTCAACTTTATCTCCTGCAGCTTGTTTATTAACCACGGCGACTGGCTGCATATTAACTTTAAGACGACTGGCGCCAAAATTGAACGAGAAGCAGGTTCGACGATCCGCCGTAAAGGTCACCTGAGCTACTCGGGAAATGTCGGGCGATTCCGGAACCAGCGTGGACGGGCCGAAGACTCCGCAGGGCGTGTTCTACTCCAGGGTGCCCCACCTGGTCAACTCTTCGGGACAGTACCTGTACTGCAAGTACTGGGAGCCACAGGGACAAGCACCAAGGTAACGCCATTATTAAAACAGCAACGTGTCAGCCTTGTTAACCTTCAAGTGCTGAGAGTTAACCAAAACCAGGCTTTAACAATGGCCGCGCGCGACATTGATACTGATAGGGTTAAGATAATCTGTATCTCTACCATGATTTATATAGGCAGTACTGTAGATCTATCATACAGGTTAATATATACATTTTGTATCGTATTGTTTCAGAGCAGTATCGCTCAATCGCCGTGGGATTGTTTTGTTTTATGGGCTTTGTTGTCAAACATAGCGTCAGGTGCAGCGGACAAGTTTGGGTCAGGGAGGTTGCATTGGCTCTCGTGGCGTCCTTTCCCCCTGCCCTTCTCTGATCTTTTCTCTCCCAATCATACTTTCATGTAGGAAAAGTGTCTCGTTGACCGAAGCGAGCTACAGACATGACAGACACTCGGGTTTGTTTGGTTTGGGGGTAGAAGAGGGACGGCTGCCCGACCTCTGCTAGTGTTGTTACTTCTCGGGTTACAGGATGGCGGCTCCTGATTTGTTGTCGGTAACCGTGCCCCCTTACCGCCCCCAGGCTGCCCAGGATAGCCCCCGATCCAGCCATCGGGCTGGGTTAGGGACTTTTGATATTGATGACCATATGATGACTTTACTTACTTTGTTTATTGGTTCCGTATTAAACGTAACTGTAGTGTTCCTCCATGCTGTTATGTTCCCGTTTCAATGTCGTTTACAACATTCTCAACCAGAATACAGACAGCGCGCTTGAAAACGAACGAAAACAGAGCAATGAAAATAAGCAAGTTAGCAACAAAGCGTCTCAAACCCCTGCACTTCTTGAGAGTACTAGTCAGTACCCCAGTGTGCTGGGACACATTCTTGGGAACATAATTTACACGATCTCTTCCATCACTCGGTATTAAACATATGACCAAAGGCAACAAAGACACCAATGTTGTTAAAGTGCCGTGGCCTGAGCCTGGTATCGTGGCTACAGTGCTAATAGAGGCTAGCCCAGGGGTAGGAATTACAGACAATCACTCCGGACTGCCAGCTATGTACATGTAGGCGTGTCCGGTGGCAGGCATGCTGGGCTGTCAGTGTGAGTGATTGAGACGACTACTGGGCAGCGGTAGTGACGCGTAACATTCCCGGCCATGTCACTTGGTGCAAAGCAAAGACCAGCTCGAGCAGTAGATTGAGTGTGGAAACGATAGTGTGGTAGTACAATATAAGATGGAGGAAATACATTAGGTGTAGCTTAGACAAGTATATATACTACAAAATTATTAAGTGTTGACCATGTGCACGCCTTTTTAAAGGGAAGTACTAACTTTTATTAGGTAATGAAAATTGCTGGACTACTAATGCAGAGAAAGAACCTTTCCATGGAGAAGGTGAAGATACAATAAAGCGTAACTTGTTCAACAGTTTCTAACCTTCTTGCATCAGTGGTTTGCCCCCTCTTTCCAATATACCAAAATGACCTGGACATGTGTGGTGCGTGACCAGAAATGGTCAGAATTTAACACCCCAAGAGAAACAAACAATCAACGAAAAAGAGAAAAAAAAAATCCCATTAATTACACGAATTTGCTGGCCTAGTCTTTGACAACCCTTTGCATTTGGCCAATGTCACCTTCAATGTCTCGCCCTCCCCAATAAAGCCATGACGCGATGTCCTGGATTGATCTGATTTTGATCTATCCCGCTTATAGTATTGTCCTGATCGTGTGAGCTATATAGGGCACCCTGTGCGTCATACCGAGAGTGTGTTACATACATAAGACAGGTTCTGGCACTCCAGAGTTATCTATAGCCCCACAGCCTGAGGTGTAAGTACATGTACATGTACGTGCCACGTCTCAGACTCGCTCTTGTCTGGGTGTAATATTGTACAGACGCTGGTGGCAATGGCCTCCGTTGGTCTTAATAAAAAAATAGGCACATTCCGCCGCACATATATAAACATGCGCGAATATATAAAAACTGTAGTATCTAATGACAGTTGGGAAAAGCTTATAGGCTTTCTTTGCTTTGTCATGTTCTGGGAACATGCGTCTGCCACAAGTTTATATACACATCACTTGATCCGCAAGTCTTTCACTGAGAACCAGTTCAAAATGGCGGCATGGCCCCGCGTCATCGTGCACCATAGGTCTATGTACAAAACATTAAGCAGCGTCCTTGACTCGGGAGGGCGAACAAAAGCTACCAATGGCGTGCCTAGGCCTTATTACTATCAGGGCCCAGGTGTGTGTTCCTCTGATAATAACAAAGGAATATCAGTCCGTAACGCTTAACCTCGTATATTGTAGCTTGTTTTACAATATAGCTTCAACGTAGTAGTCAAACGTAACTGTAATACAAAACTCCTAATTTTCCTTAAATCCATAAACAGAGCGAAAGATTTCATGTCGGCCCACGTTACATAATTGTGTTGTTTCGAGAAGAATACTGCAGTACTGGTGTATAGTACTGACTAGGATCATTCTCGGTTATGATCTGTATATGATAATCTGCCATGCTGTTCTTATTGGAAGTTCGTGTTGCTATTATAAACTTCGATATGTTACTTGAATTCATTATTCATCATGTACCCATGAGACTCAAGGCTTTATTTCCCCCTTACTGTAATATTTATGAGATAGCATCTTCTATAAAAGCCATGTATACTCGGATGTACCGGTGAAAGTGTTTGATTTAGTGACGGAAAGATACAGAGCTGTAACTAACATGGTGGCGTTACGATGCCGTCTAGTAAGTGAAATTAAAATCGAAGTAATCCATGTTTTAAATACTAATGTGCGTAGATGCGATGATACCAAAAATTTTGAAGTACATGTACTTCCGCCATTTGGATTTGTTTGACTTTCACTATATATTAACATGTCACTCTTTTGACATTAGCCAGGGATCGCCCCGAAGTATGTCAGTGCCCATAAAGCGACGGCAATCAATGTAGTGAACCATCGTAGCGATTTCTCATGGGATTTTAATATGGGAGCCCCGGTATACAAATACTAGTATAGGATGGCACCTAGTCTAGACTTTTGTGGGAATAGACAAATATCTTTAGCTTCAACTCTTTGGAAATAAAAGCGTTGCGTTTGCATATATTCTCCTTCAGCATGAACCAAATGTTTATCTTGTGTATACACATAGGGCACTGTTGATGATCGTTCACGGGGTAGCTGAACACTGTCAGAGATATGAGGAAATCGCCACGGAGCTGAACAAAGAGGGAATCCTGGTCTTTGCACACGACCACGGTGAGTAGTCAGTATGTAGCGGGGACACTTGATGTACTCTTAAGCACGAAAACTGCGTTAGCATTAAACTTAGTCACAGACGTTTGCCGCACGTGCACAGAAATTATCCTAAGGTAACAGGAAGTCTGTGTCTGAAGTATGGTGCCGTTTTCCCCTGTAGTTGGACACGGACAGAGCCAGGGTTACCCTGCCGACATCAAGAGTTTCCATGAGTACGTCCAGGACGTGCTGCAGCACGCCGACAAGATGCGAGGCGCGCATCCCGGCATCCCCATCTTCATCCTCGGACACTCCATGGTGAGGGACGGTTTTTTTTTTTTTTTGTTTTGTTTCCCAGCAAAGGAAATAATCTGGTTGCTTCAGAGTAGGGAGGTATTGTTTTGGGTGGCTGGGCTGTGGGTTTGTATCTGTTTCAACGGTCCGGACAGAGTAGGTTGACAGCACGTGGGTGGAAGATTGACAGACAGAATGACATGAAGTCAAAAGGTCTCAGAATCTGACATTGACTAGTGTTTATTCACACCAACCTGTTCATCCAGGGAGGAACCGTTGCTACCCTGGCGGCCATGGAACGGCCCACTATGTTTGCAGGGGTGGTGTTAACGGCTCCGGCCATCATTCCCGCGCCAGAGACAGCAACTAGATGGAGGGTGAGTTCTCCAGCTATCCAAGTATGGTGTTATGAAAAGTAACATTTTTTGTCGCTATGCAGCTTTTGTCACACCACAATGTGTTTTGAACTTGACGTGTTTGTAATGAATCCACAGGTGTTAGCCGCCAGGACGCTCGCCTCTATCCTTCCGCGGTTTGAAGTGGGGACAGTGGATACAAGTTTCGTCAGCCGGGACCCCGAAATGGTAAGAGACCACAACTTAAATAAAATACAGGAAGTTTGTCTGCATTTGCATATGGCGTAAATGTCCTTGCTTTTAATTTGTTAATGAGGATTTTACTAACACTTCCTCGATTATTTATTGTCAGTTTTTGTTTACTATAAGATTACATACATTGTACCCCCTACAATTGTAGTTTAATAAAGTTTTGCTTCTATAACAGCAGTTTCTGTTGGTATTCCCAGAGTGAGCGCGCGTCTTTCACATCATCAAAATTTCCCGACTTTGTTCTCCCCTCCTCCAGGTGAAGGCGTACGAGGAGGACCCGCTGATCTATCACGGCGGGCTCCGCGCGCGCTGGGCGGTGCAGACCCTGGACGCCATGGACCAGATCCGGCGGCAGGCGGCCTCCTTCCAGCCGCCGTTCCTCGCCCTGCACGGCGACCAGGACAAGCTGTCCCTTCCCGAGGGGGCCCAGTTCCTGTACGACAATGCACCGGAGGGGGATAAACAGATAAAGGTAGGCAACGCGGTGGGGTGAGGGTATCTGTATCTGACCAAGGGGATCTGACCTGTCCAATGCAAAGAACTTTTCAATCTTTATACACTGTACAATGCATAATTGACAGGCTGGATTATGTAGATTATTGGATTGAGCAGGATTAGAATAAATGATTTATCTGTAATATCAATTCTGGCAAATGACAGATTTTGTCGTTAAATACGAACGACGGGGAACATATAAAATCTTAAGAGTATATAAAACACACATAAAGTCTACAAAGATAACTGTCTTTGCTTTTCTCCTGGCTGGTGTAGATCTATCCCGGCCTGTACCACGAGCTTCTGCGCGAGCTGAAGCCGGACGCCGAGATGGTACGGCGGGACATCGTGACTTGGGTGACGGAGCGGATAGACAACACCGCCACAAGTTAACTAACTTCCCGTGCGTCAACGTAGGGCGCCCTGCAATGGTACATTGGGTATTGCAGGATCAAGAGCACCGTGACTCTACGAAAGGAGCTGCTGTAAGATTGCGGTTGTGCAAAGTATCCTAAACTGCAATGTATACTTGGTATATATATTTTATGTACGCATATACATATTACTGCTAGATGCACCATTGTACTTACGTAAAGAACATATCTGTGCAGTCTTATTATAACTGTTAAGAACGTTATGTCACGTGTATATTTGTATTTATCAGATCGGAATGGTATACGGGCTGCTATTATTCTATCACCTGGTGTTAGAATCTATAGATCCAAATATTTGTGTCACACAGTGGTATTACTTAGCGCTGAATTACTGATTGAATTTTATGTACAGAATTTCGGGTTTATATATAGTCGAATTAAAACTGTCCTCTAAAACTTTTGCGTTGTGGCATTATTTCCGAGGGCCATAACTTTAACAAAGAACAGGAATCGAAATACTTGTAAAACTAGTTACAAATAGTAAACTTGTACATTTGTACGTTAGAAGGAACGCCCATACGCGTACACTCAATTAAGGGCCTAATGCCAAATATTAGACCCAGCACACAACAAAAGAAAATTGACGGCTGTGAATTCCAGAGCCTTCATTAGCTTGAGGTGATTACACGGCACGGTTCAAGACTCTACGGTTAACCCAAGTACAACAACCAAACCTCGCAGGCTACTCGTTCATTTGTGCCGTCACAGTGTTCCAAACTGACGCTAATAGTCACACAGGTCCATGGCACTTGTCCATGACCTCCTCTTGATGCAAAGAAGCGACTTATAGATTAAAACAAAATCATTTAGATCGACAATCGGTTATACAGTGTTGTATTTGGATAATCAGGACAAAATAAAGTTTGACCTTTGACTTGTCCCTGATTATCCAAATAATACAAATACAACACATCTAAAAATGAATGCACTTTGTCGTAATTGAGAATTCCCGTCTTGCGGCTAAAGCTTGACTCAGCATGTTTGTTTCGTGAAACTTTAAACGTCAGTCTCATTCGGAGACTACCGTATCTACATTTCTAGAGCCTGTGCAGACCTCTAGAGGCCTCTTCTAGCGACCGGCGTTTGATTGAATATATGAGTGTTAATTTGCGCCGGTACTGCCCCCCCCCCAATATATACAGCTCTAAAAAGAAACCACCACAAGGTCAATAGCTCATAGAAACAAGCGTTGGCCACTAGAAAAGATAACTAGCCATATAACTTGCCGTATGATGTCTCTTTTGCACCGCACTGGTTAACGGCGGCCAGCATGCACAGCAAAAATTCCAGCAGAATTCACGACTCACATGTTGCATGTAAGACGGCGCTTTTTAACCGTGTGCAAAATTCACCTAAGATACTTTAGTACATATTACCTGCATTGATATCTTTAGCCGCTAGGTAGAGCTTTTGAACCGTGTGCAGAATGCACCTTAGATTAATGGTGAAATTAACTCTTGCCAAAGGATGCTTTCACATATAAAGTACTTTGAGTAATAAAACCATAAATTAAAATATATTATGCTAATCACTATCTTATGAAGTATACAAATTCTTGTTACAATCTGAAACTTAAGGCGACTTAAAAAAAACTGTGAGAAAAACGTTAGTTTTGTCTTGAAGATTACGATTGACTGTGACTACAAAAATACCTGCATATACCACAGTCTATAACAACACACTACATACATGTCTAGTGGTTATGTCCCTCTAGAGGAATGAATCACACAGCAGACAAGAGGAGTGTTGTAAAAGTCAAAAGCACCTTTTTATTTGTTCTGGAGTGGTACGGTACGCGTCACACTCATGTGCAAGTCTACAGGAAGAAACAGTCGTAAGAAAAGGCACTCCTTTATTTCATTTATAGTATAGGCGTTGGTTAGCTCCACCAATGTGAAAAGCGTCAGTTGCAGCGTGGTTAGCCCAGTGCACGTTACTCTAGAGGGGTCCACCCTAATGTGGTGTAACTCAATATCACCCCCTTCATCATACTACACTGAAAAAATACAAACACAACTCTAAAATTTATGCAAAGTTTTCTTCAACAACATCTATAATTTAAATTAGCCACCAATAAAGCGAGGTGGGGGGGCAGGCAGGAAAACAAAAGCTTTCACTCGCGTGGTCTTCTTTCTTACTCTTGTATTGTAATTTATTGTCAATTTGAAATAACTCCAACGTAGGTTGGAAGATTGTTATAGAGCTACAATAAATCCTACAGTTAGTTCTTATGTATTACTCCAAAATGCATTCCCTCGCATGTATGTTGTATACATTGTTGACTTCTATTACATCCATTGCTGCTAAAACTACTATATCCCAATATAAAAATGGCATCTTTTCTCATATAAATTCACTTCTAACAGCTCATGATTTGCTGTCTACTGGGCCTCCTCTTTACAAAATGCTTCCATTCAACCTTAATTTTCACCACAATTCATTACTACAATTTTATTCCCATTACATTTTCCATCCGCTAACCGTATTACCGGTAGTCTTGCTAGAAGTCAGCCGGCAAGAGAACCAATAGAAAGTCAGTACTCCAGGGTTTTTAGCATACGTCTCTCATGGCAAACGTAGGGTTATATTTATATATCACGGTCATCTACTTTCTCTGAAGCATTCAAGTTCAACTGCATATCTCTATAATATCTCTATATTAATATCATAAGACATATCCTCAACAGTAGCCTTTCTTGTCATTTCAGGAAAAATTGTTCCCGTTTTCTCTTGATTCCATTGCAAAATAACACAGGTCGAAGGCACCATCTATTCTCTCCCCAGCCCCTCCCCTTCGTTAGGTTATACCAGCAGATGTCTCTCAGTTCTCTTGCATAGCATATACGGTGCATCGCCTTATCTTTGAGCTACAATACAAAAAGTAGATACAAGTTTCTTTTTTTCAAGGGGGGTTCTCGACTAAACAATGGCAGTGGTACTATGATCTAGGATCACCATACCGGGAAGTTACGTTACTGTAACCTTGAATGGACTGCCAGGGATGTGTTGATCCCCCCATTTTACAATGAGTTCGTAATCGCCCTTTTCTCGTACGGTGTACACTACGTTGTACTTCTGTCCGCCCATGTGTTTGACATTGACCTCTTCGCACGGCGTCCTGGGCCCGTGTACACCCACCATCAGCATGTTTGTACCTGGTGGGAAGACAAAATATATCAGATTTTGTACATTTTAAGCTGAACTTGGTCACAGATCATGTACATCTGGAACAACTATGAAGAAAAAAATCAGTAATTTCCTAACATTATACAAAAGCAATGGAGATTATGGGAAAATGACTAACTGTCGTCATAGTATACAATATATGCACTAGTGACCACCTTTGCATATAAGAACCACCTGGTGATTGTAACTACTTTTTGGTGGTCCCTTTTCCCGATTACGAATTCTGGCTATAGTAGCCACCTTTTTGTTTATTGATTGATCTTAAAAACAGTTGGGTGGTACCTTCAGTTTAGGACAACTGATTTCCAAGGTAGCCCAACAAAACAAGTTACAAAGGAAATTATAGACATAAATCAAATCACATTAAGTACAGAGTGGGGCAAAATTAACATAATAATAATCAAACAAATAAACATAGAGATAATGAATGATATAAACAAAGAGTACAAGTAATCAATCATATGAAACAAAACATGTCAACCAAAACAAATAGTCAAAATCATCAAGGCATATTCATAGTCCATGTCAATCCAGTCCAAAATAACAGTCAGTGGCTACTGTGACTACCGCACTAGTAATTTTATTGTCTCTCAAGTGGTCACTGAATGAATTTACTATACATTCATATTTTAGAATATGTTAGAGAAAAGTTAACTTTGGATCCTCACCTGCATTGCCACAGTCCACGTTGAAGCTGTTCTTCTGTCCCAGAAAGCCCTTCTTCAGCCCCATGCCTTGTGACTTGACCTTGCTGGCATCTGACAGGAGTCTGGACATGCCCTGCATGCCGCCCGCGTAGCTCGCTTGTGCCGAAGACTTGGAAACTGTCTCCACCACGACCGAGCACGACTCGTGCATGCCTGACACCGCGCCTGCCATCTTTGGACCTAAAGTTAGATTTGAAAAGAATGTAGCAATTCAGTCTATCACTTTTATAACACTGTAGGTTTGTGTTGCTTTGTGTACAGTTTCAAAAGTCATTTCCCTAAATGATACACCATAATTTGACTCAGGGAGTTCAAATCTACAACAATCCGTATTAGAATTCATCTAATTCATCTAGCATACCTTTTCTATTTTATCTCTGCTGGGTGGGCAACAACACCTGTGTTTTTAACAAAGGGTGACAATACCACCAGGTTACCTGTGATTCTTGCCCTGAATGGGCTGCCCACGATGGGGTTCTGTCCGGCGTACTTGACGGAGATGTTGTAGTCTCCCGGCGCCCGTGGGATGTACGTCACCTTGTAGCCCTCATCACATTCCACACAGTCCAGCTGCACCTTGGATGGGCCGTCCACCGTGATGGCCAGCGCCCCCGCCCCCGCGTTGATCGTGTTCACAATAAACTCACACCTCTCTCCTAAAGAGAACATCAAGAAGACAGTGAGATACCAGGGTCAAATGAGTAATGTCATAGTTCTGATACAAAACGAATTTTTCCCACAGTTTTAAGAGAAAAGATGTTTCCACTTGCACTGTGCTGACTCGAAAAAGCATCTGATTCAGCAAAAAGAAGACAAAATACGTATAAATAACAACAAGAATAAAAGCAGCTCTCACCTGTTCTGCCCCCCTCCAGGCCAGCGCCGTAGGCATGCACCATGCCTGCGTCTCCCTCCACGAGTGACGTGCCTGCCCGGATGCGGAACGGGCTGCCCGGGATGGGCACGTTGTTGTACGTCACGTGGACGGTGTAGACGCCGTTCTCCCGCGGCATGAACCTCACCACATACTGACCTGCTAAAGACAGAGGGTTCACGATTACTAACATCACTGGGTTTTCATGCAGGTCCTACAAAGTGTATTGATACAGCAAGTGTGCAGAGCTTCTATGGATGAGGCAAGGATGTCATTCCTTTTTCCGGTGAACAAAATTTTAATTAGTATTGTACATGAACATGTACATTATTCTCTCCTAAAAGCAGAGAGTTTACAAATACTCACAGCTTTTCATACCAATCAAAGGATTGAGATACCCAACATGTTTGGTCTCTGGTCTCTCTAAGAAATGATTTCTGACACACTCCAAGAGTCCTAAGACACATACCCTCCTCCACATCTGTGATGATACACTCCTCCTGCGCCCCGGACGGCGCGATGACCTGAGCCTGGAGGTCGCCAGGCCGTGCTCCGTTCAGCTGGACAGCGAAGGAAGCCGGTTGGTTGAGCTTCAGGCCGGTCTCCTGCAGGCTGGACACGCTGACCTGCCGAGCGTCACCCATGGGCGGGATGACGTCCACGCTGAAGGGACTGCCCGGGATGTGGTCATCGTTAAACTTGATGCTGACCTGGTACTCTCCTGCAATCAGAGATAACATGATGAATTCCAGTCTATGTTATATCTTAATCTATCAATTCCACTGGTTGAGCTAGACAAACTCAAAAAAGTAGAGGTTCATCTTGGATTGACTTTGAGAAACACTTTTGCATTTTCAGACTACCCGTTAGTCTTACCTGGGTCGGTTGGCATGTAGGACACCCCGCAGGATCCATCCTTCCTGTCCTCAAAGTTGATCTCAGCCTTGGCAGGACCTTCCACAGCGATGGCCAGGCCCCCTGCACCGGCCTCACGGGTCCAGATGGTGAACTCAGCTGCAGAGGGGAGGAACAGAGATCATCGATGAATGAATAAATGTATCATACCTTACAGACAGCAACCCCTAATGGTAATGTGCAAGTCTCTGCAACACTGACAGCTACATGTAAGCCAGGATTCAAAGAACACAACAATCATACTAGCAGATTGAGACGTACCAGTCATATGTGACACCATGTAGAATGATACAAATATTTCCAAGGAAGGATACTCTGTACTACACAAGACTGTAGATCATACAGTACTTACAGAGCTGTCCGACCTCTCCCCTCTCCAGGCCAGGCCCTCCTGCCTGCACCTTCCCTGCTCCACCCTCAGTGATGGGACCAACAGTGAACTGGAATGGGCTCCCTGGGAAAAGCAAACACAACATATGTTAAGTACTACAGCAGGGAATGTATCTTTCAGCACCAAGGACAGGCATGATTTCTAGGACAGTGGGTTCATGAATAATAACTGTAACATGAAAGAAAACTTCTGTGAATAGCTTCAATGGGATTTTCAGGAAGTTGAAGATTGCATATTTCCCATAAGTCTGAAATCTCAGCTTTCTTGTCCGTCTTCAGTTTTTCTACTGCACCTTGCAAACTCCTAGTACTAGACTGAACACAATGTCAGCACAGAGCTGCACTCACCAGGCACGTGTGCTCCCTTGTACCTGACACTGACAGTGTGGATGCCCATCTCTGCCGGCACAAACCTCACGCTGTACGTGCAGTTCTCCAGCTCCACGATTTCGGCGTCTTCTGTCCTGCCAGACGGGCTGGTCACCTGGGCCGACAAGTCGAACGGACTGGTTTCTGTGGGGAGGGAAGCGTCACAAAATGAGATAGGTATCACAGGAGGGCTTTGAACAAAAATGACGCTGGTCAGAAGTTCTAGTTTTTGCTGCCATCACGGACAATGCCCTTGCTGTAATGAATGAAAAATTTTATTGTACTTCAAGAAAAGGCAAATAGGCAGACATGATTGAATAATACGCTCTTTTGGTTCCAGAATGACATTAAACACGATTTTTACATTTCTAAATCATGGACCATGAAAGGGTTGTCAGCAGCTTTAGAGTAGGACTTCTGAACCATATGTTTAAATATGCCTGACAACAAAGAGTGCCACAAAAGGTGCAACAACATCACATGACATGGAGGTGCAACAGCTTGTCATAGCCAGCCACGGTGGTAGAACAGTCAGAAACACATGTACAAGGCCAGTTCTTGCAGTGCCACTGTAATGCCCGTACTGGTATGGCAAGACTCACAGAGATGACGGAATGGTGTGCAGTTGGCATACTGACTCAGCAAGCATGCAGGACATGGCGGGCTCCATAGGGGGCACACATGATACACAAGTACTGTCAACACTGTTACAGGTGGCTTACAACTTCAAGGTTGTGTTAAGAACTTGAATTCTATGTTTGGGTCTTTTGAATATTTATGAATGTGTTGAGAATTTTTCAAATATTTTCCAAACAAGGCAAACATTAAAAATTACAGAAGCGTACACCTGTTTCAGTGTTAACAAAGTGGCGGTGGAACAAATTGTACAGTACTTGTACAATAAATCATGTAGGACAAACTGAAATAGGAAAATCAAACTTTACATTAACAGATGCCATGCTCTTACACATGTGGAACAAACCATTCATTGTGACAGGGGTGTGTGAAAAGTGTGTGATGTCAGTGTATTTTGTGGGCATGCTGAAACAAAACATTACAATATAATATAGTGTGTCTGTGTTTTCCTTTCACAGTGTTCTTTTGTCCGGTCAAAATAAACCACACTCCATGCAGGGCAGCGTACCATGCACTTCTTGTAGCTCCCCAACTAGGCCTCGCATGTACAGGCCTGAAACGCAAGCACAGGACATTAGGGACGCACGCACGCACGCACACAAGCCGCAACCAGGCACGCACGCACCCACAGATGGAGGGAATCAAACGTAAAAAATAAAAAGGGGGTTGGATTAATCAAGAGGTGTGTGTGGACATGGAGGACGTCACAGACCGCCTGGCACAACTCGCGTTTCACGGATATGGTGATGGACTCCACCTTTGATTTCTGTTCGCGTCACGGTTTCTATCCGTTTGCTCGCTTGTATCATTTGGAACCAATTGGCTAGGGGGGTGAGAAGGTACAGAAGATATTAACTTGCACTTATTTCTTACTGAGAAATAATATCAAACATGTCACGGATACTGGGATAATGTTATCCTATTTTATCTACTGAATAGGTTGAAGTTGTAGTATACAGTACATATAGGATATGAAGTTGTCTAGAGAGAGAAAGAGGCATATTTATACGGTGCAACAAAGCTACAAAAAATGAAATATCCGAATGAGCAAACAAATTTCAAAAAAGCACACAGACAAAAGCCATGCAATTTTTACAAAACTCAAATGATAAAAACTCAACAAAATAAAACATGATTATCATTAATCCAGGAAATCTGCAAGGCATGACAAAGTAGTTATTCCTTCATTATCTACATAACAAGTCAGTGTTGAGAGCCCTCAGCCAGCTGAAAAACCTAAAATAAACATAATAAAACCATCTTTAAGTTGCAAACACAACCACAGACATAAGAAGCAGACAAGAAAGACTTCCTCCACACACCTGGTATCTTAAGGTTCAGGTCACATGTGCTGCCCACAGTTGCCACAGAAGCAGCCTGTCGTTTCCGTGTGATCTTCTCGGTGTGTTTGCCGGCGCCCTCTCCTGTTACTTTCACTGTGAACGGACTCCCTGTATAGACATACCAGCAGTGTCAGTCTCCTAACATCTTCAAAGACATCCTCATACAAAACAACTAATCTGAAAAACTTCTGAAGCTTTAAACCTGTTGTCTTCAAAGTAAAATGTAGATTTTGTACATTAACCTTTAAGTTACAATCTATGTATCTAAAAGGGCCATATACCATTTGTTCCATTTAAATCTTTCAGTATTAAAACCTGCAGACATTAATGAAAATGTAAATATTCCTACTAGATCTGTTTACTTTTGTGTTGAGCAGTGAGAGTATAGCTTCTTGTTCAAGAGTAGTGAAAACAAGGAAAAGCAGGAGGTGAACTGGCACTATGTACCTGGTACATGTTGATCAGCAAACTTGATGTTGATGATGTAGTTGCCAGGTTCTGTAGGCCTGTAGGTGACAGTACAGGTGCCATCCTCGTTGTCCCTGCAGTTGATGTCAGCCTTGCTGGGTCCCTCGATGGACAGTCCCAGGCCTCCATAGCCTGCAGCACGGACAAGGTTTGTCATGATGAAAAAGAGATACGAAATTTCCACTTCATCATTTTCTCCTACTACATGTATTTTCTTAGAAACACCAGAAGCAAACTTCTATTACATAGTACCATACAATGTACTTTTTGATCATTTTCCCATTGACTACAGCATCAAGAATCCTGTCTGTAGTGGCCATTGTCTTCAAGCCCATTGAGTGGTCACTAAAGACAGCTTTGACTGTTCTATTTTTACTGGAAAGACTTGTTCCCCTTCCAGTACCCACCTGCCTCCCTGGTGTCCACGGTGAACTCTGCCACATCAAATGTGGCCGACTCCCGCAGGCCTGCGCCCTTGACCTTGACCTTCCTGGCGTCGCCGATCTCCTGCTGACCAACCAGGATCTTGAAGGGGCTGTTGGCGACGTGACGGCCGTTCTTCTTCACACTGACCAGGTGTTCTCCAACCTCACGTGGTGTGAACGAGATACCTGGTGCAAGGAAAGGGAGGTCAAAACTGGTCAAAACATTTGCATTGTCTATTCAACTTTGTCCATTTAGTTTGAGAAAAATGTATGGTCAGTATCACTGAACAGGATTTTATAATTGCCTTTTAAGTTTTCTAATCAACTTTTCTATAACATGCCAGGGCATGTAAAAGCCTGACAAATAAAAGCTTGGACAAGTTCAAGGGTAGAAATAATCAAGCCAATGTGAGCTATGATTTGCACTAAAAGCATTTTAAACGAAACGGAAACTACCAGTTTTGCATAGTAGAGCCCACAGAATAGTTGAATATAACATGTAATATGTAACACCCTCCAGTATTAGCATGAAATGGTGTGTAGGTTTTGGTCTTAAAACATCCCATGTTTTTTCAGACAGCTCACCTATGTGTCCGTTGGACAGCCTCTTGAGCAGACAGGGTTCCTCGTGGCCCGAGGGGCTCCTGATGCTGGCCTGGAGCAGACTCAGGTCCTGCTCCGCGATCTTCAGCGACACCTCGTTAGCCGCTCCCACTGCCACCTGCTGGGGCTTACGCTGGTCTCCTGATGGGACAGGGACAGGGGTTCAGCAAACAATACAAATCTGCATCGTTTTGTTTGTATACGGTGGGAATGATGAACATTTATTATGCTTTTCTCACACATACTCGATATATTAGTTGTGTCTGTCAACATGATTTTGGAACAAAACATTTCCAGCACAAGGTTTCTTTTCATTTGCAATGGAAATTCAATAGAATAAAAACAAATACAATAATATTGTTTTCTAATGTATCATTGATGAACATGTGTTGCACTGTTCCTTTGATGGGAGGTAGGGATGGATGGATCTTTGAAGCAAAGTCTGTTGCTCCCAGTGAAGAGAGAAAATCTCACATCTGATGAACGACCATCATACCTTGTAGAAAAAGAATGTATGTGTAAACACCTACCGACGATCTTGGCCTTGAAGGGACTGCCCGGGATGTGCCTGTCAGCAAACTTGACGATGATGTTGTACTCGCCGGGCTGGGTGGGCAGGTAGGACACGCTGCAGGTGCCGTCCTTGTTGTCACGACAGGTGATCTCTGCCTTGGACGGACCCTCCACAGCCAGAGCAAGCCCACCTGAGGATGGAGGCAAAGTTTATGAAGTGTTCACAAAAATTATAATCCCTCCTCTGGCTCTGACAGTAGTCTGTCACTGATCACACAAACATTCTCTTCAGTCATCAAAAGTGAAATCCTCAAGACAAAAGTCTAAGACCTAGCACAGAATCCTCAACTGTTACTTCTGATATCATGATGTAGCAATATGAATGTATACAGGTACATGTACACAGCATGAATGACCCAAAATCAAGGCGAAGACACTGCACCCGTGATGCAAAATGAGATTTTAACAAATGTTCTTTCAAAATGACTGCTATTTTCCTATACTTGACTAAGAATCTCCTGTTGATTATAGTACAGACAGAAGTGTCCCACCTGCTCCAGCATCCTTAGTGACGATGGTGAAGTTGGACTGCTGCCCTGCAACACCGTGACTCAGACCTGAGCCAAACGCCGAGACCTGGCCTGGCCTGATCTCATCCACATGGAACTGGATGGGGCTTCCTGGGGTGGGGAAAGCCACATTAATGTATTAATTACACAAACGTGTGAAGAGTGGGATCTGTCTGTATATTCCATAGCTAGTATATAATGCACCAAGTTCGAGATCTAGACATGGGGCCCTTTAAGTCTAATAGGACAAAACAAACATTGTTAACCTCCTTGCAGAAAAAGAATTTGTGTCCAGTGGCTGAAGTCAAGTTTGCATCATTTAAATGAACAACAGTTACTGATGCAAATGTAAGTCCTGGTCAAAAAGTTGGAAACTATTTCGGAAGTGAACAATGTATGCTGCTTTAGATTTCCGTCTGACCTGGTATATGTTCTCCGTTGTACTTGATGCAGAGCTCGTGCAGCCCTGCCTCTGTGGGGGTGTACTTGATGGTCAGGGACCCGTCACGGTTGTCGATGAACTTGGGCTGGGCAACGCGGCCAGATGGCTGCTTCACCTCAGCTACAAACAAAGATACAATGTCAGATAATGCTTATCCATTCCTAGTCTGTGTGACACAAAAACTTGCTGTCTGGGGCCGTAATAGATCCTTTCCCAATAAGGGCTAGATGCTAGGATGAGTTGTAGGCTATATGTGACCATGGCACTCATTGGTTTAATGGTCAAGAATCATACTGCTAAAAGAAGTTGATCAAAGATGCTAACAATACCCTTAAAGGTAGTTCCATGAAATTTTGTAAAAAATTGATTCACAGAATTCCAGAAATGGTGGAGTAGGGTGTACTACGTGCACATTGTAGCCTAAAGCAAAGGTACAAATAGCAAGAGTGCAGGAATACAGAGTACTTAGAAACTCTTGAAAGAAGTGGAGTTTTCCTTACCAGTCAGGTTGCCTGAAGACAGTACCTCGATGAAGATGGGTACGACAAACTCCACTGGCCTCATCCGGCCAGGAGCACCCGACTCCAGCTCATCAGCCATCCTCATCTCTTCCTGCGCCTGAAATCAGCCAAGGACAGGTTAGTGTGATGTTTGCGATCGGGACTCATACAGGGTGTTTGGAGGGACTTGGACAAACAGTACAGTACCACATGTCACTCATTCATACGCAGGCTGGCAAAGACCAACAGAAAGTCACGGAGAAAGCAATAAAGTGGCGTAACAGAAAGGGTGCAGAAGTCTGTAGGCAGTACATGTAAGTATCATGGAATTTCTCATCATACATAGATATAGCGGGTACACAAACACTGGTAAATGAAAAGATCATTAAGTTCCTGCAAGACAAAGAAGTTATTAAGTTACGACAACATTATACAGCAAGCCAAGAAGGTCACAAAAATGTTACGAACATAGCTACAATGTAGAAGGCTACACATTGCTGAATTGCAGAATACACATAATAAACATCAGATCAGATTGCTTTGAGCAAGCTACACTTGACAGCATAGACAAAGCAAGAAAAGCAACACTGGACTCTGCAGTCATTCTGATCACACATTTGTAGTCCATGAAGGAACCTGAAAGAAGGCAATTGGCGAGTCATGAGTAAAAGTGGTAAAAGCAAAGATACATGCACATGTAGTACAAAACCGACACTATAATCGAGAGGGACAGGTTGCACATATAATGTTGGCAGTTGAATTATTCCAAATTTATTTTTGCAACAAGATGATTCTGCAAGACAAGAATAAGAAAATCAGATGTTGACAGGCAATACAAACACGCTGGAAAAATAAGAAACAGTTGAGTACAATGTATATGTTGTGCACTGACAAGATGTGTAGCTCACTGTTGAAGGGTGAGTTAACAGTTGATTACGTTATACACAATAGGTCATACTGACTCATCTTTTGCTTTACAAAGAAATCATTGACAATATATCTTGCAGTCTGACGTGTTTGTTTACATGGAAGCGCAGAGAAGAGGAAGACACTGAAGAATTTTCCGACTGAAGTTATGCTGTTAGAATCTGCACTAGTTTACCCCAGGTGTGGCCCTATCTGGCCCTCTCTTGTACGGGCGTATCTCGTCATCATCAGCATCCCCAGGTGCGCCTGACTTGGTCCCGTCTTCTGGTCCCCCCTTCCTCCACGGCCGTGCCCTCATCTCGTCAGGGCGAGTCTGCATCTCCTCAGCAGGGACCACGCCTTCTCGTCCCCATGGCTGCCTTGTAGCATCAGCTGGGCGAGCCAAGGAATCGTCAAAGCCTGGAGCAGCCTTTGTATTGTCTTTCCACTCGTCGGGAACTGACATCATTTCATCGCCGGGTACCGCTGCAACACGCTCCACCTTGTCGGGACGATACTTGGCGTCAGCTAGCAGCGCTCCGAAGTCCACTCCCTTCTTCTTAGGCCCTTCCTCATCTGAGTCGCCACCTTTCTTCCTCGGGCGGTCCTTGTCCTTCTCACCATCCTTCTTCTTGGGGTGCTTCTTCTTTGAAGTCTTTCCTTTCCCTTCGTCTTCCGAGTCAGATGAGGAGGAAGATGAGGAAGAAGAAGAACTGGATGTGTGGGATCCGGACCTGCGAGGCTTTCCGTGCCCCTTGGACCCAGGTTTGCGTCCTAGCTTTTCTTCCCCGACCCTTTCCTGTTGGTACAAAGTTAGCCATGCATGATGCTAGGGTGAAAGACTCATCAGTGACTGATTGGAACGAGCAATTGGATTATTATCCATCTGGCCTGCAAGAATGTCAGGTCAATTAGAAATAAAAACATAAACGATGGGTAATCTCAACTGACAGGACTTCCTTCCGTTGATCGACTGGAGCGATTTACACAAAAACAATACGTTGGCAAAATTAGACTATACATCATCAAAAGAAGGCATGCAGAAGTTTCTAACACTAGAGATATTACATTTCTAAGCAGATAATCATGAAATACAGTCATATATTATGTCATTGTATGATTGTCCAAATCAGGATGATAAATGTGGATTAATATGGATCAGAAATGACGGATTAGACTATTCGATTAAGGGATATCTGGGTAGTCAGGATCATCACTATGTAGTATATTTGATGATTTGTGGATACACAATAATATTATAATATGCAATGTGTGAAACTGATGAGTGATAATGAGGTAAATAAATTGGTATAATAATGTAATAGTCATTTGTGAAGATGATGGTGATTGGTCTGTGGGGTTAGTTACAGTGAAGTACAGTGAGTACCATGCCATCTGGGCCGTCAAAGTCATCGTCTGGTCGACCGCCACGCAGCTTGGAGTCCATCTCCTCTGCCTAGTACCACACACAAACAACACATCAGCATGCTCACAATGTGCCCAAACTACATCGCAAACCATCAATTCCATTGCTTCAGACAATCAAGGATATTAATGCGGATGTCGAGGCAGATAAAGTGGTGGGAAAATTAGGGAAGGGTACCATTTTGAGAGCGTCAGCTTCAAGTTGTTTCAGCTTTAACTCTAGCGCTTCCTGCAGGAACAAAATTGTTGTTGTGCACACAAACTGATGAGTCACCACAAGAAAATATGAACCCATCCACCCAAATTCAGCAGAAATTTGGGAGCAAAATCAATGTGTCCAGACAAAATGAAATTGTGAAAGAATTCATCATGATTGGCGAATAATGAAAATTTGTGAAGAAATGGCGAATGTCGAAAGAGCAATTGAAACACCTGAAAATCCCGTCACCGAAAATTGTGTTGCTGAACTGGTAATAAAGGAACATGGCATTTGCAGAACTATGCAGTGCTTTTGTTTCTGACTGTGCCTGCAGGAATGATAGAGAAGCATCTGAAGCATGAATCGCGGCATGCGGTTAGGATTGATGTTAGTCTGAGGAGGGAGGGGGGCATGCATGATTCGTTCTAGCGAGGGTAAGGCGTTGACTCTGAAGCAGATCTCGGCTGGGTCGCTAAGAATTAGAAAAGCAGCACATCAAAAATACAATATAGTGAGAGCGCTGGAAGCTTGCTCGGGTTATGAGAGAATGCAGGAGCAATAATATAGGTCTGCTGGTCAATACCGCCATAGGTGTGGGAGCCGATTGCTGCATCTGGGCTGGGGCTGCCTTCACCACTTCTTGGTCCGCCTGAATGGAGGAATGTTTCATCACGGTTAGTCAATACAGGCTACCTTACCACGGTACCCACAAGACAGGAATACAAATCCAATTAACATTATGAATACACATATCAGAGAGAAGATTCACTGAATCGAAAAACGTCCATTGTATTAAACATGGTATCAGGGCGGTCAGTAGAGAAGAATTTATGACAGGAGAAACGCATCACTGGTGAACAAAAGGCATCGCCTGGGTTGCATGTGATATAATTAGTGAGCCAGTGGTCTGTAGCCCGCAGCACTTAGACGGGATGGAGGTTGGATGATGTAAACATGATTGGATGTCACAGTAGACAGGCGCCCTGCCTGGGGATGTGTCTGAAATCGAAAATCAGGCAGGGAGGAGGAGGAGGAGGCACGGAGCGGAATAACAATGAGCGTCACTAGTCGTCTCTTGGTGGTACTCACAGATGGACTGCAGCAGTAAACCAATAATTGCTAAAGGACCAATCTAGTCTAATCGGTCTGCCATACAGTACAACTCAGGAGACAGAATAGGGTTGGGGGAATCACAAATCAATAAGAGGATATACATGTACAGGGAAAGGCCATACATCACAAATAACTCAACAAGGGGATGGGGGCCAAAGCAGAGGAAGGTGCCACAGTGTCCATGAAAACACAAGAGGGATTGAACCAATACCAAATGTAGGAAGCAAACATTCGCGCAGGGTTGCGGCTACACGTATGACAAAAGGCCAAAGCCAGCAAACCAAAAGCAAAAGGGGACATGACAACAAGCAAAACTCAGACAATCCATCCATCCATCACTAAGTCTTAACTCTGAAGACCATAATGTGGAGACCATCACACCAACAACAGCCTGTTTTCTGAATCCAAGTTTAGCTTTCTATGGTCCATGCTACTGAATGCACATTCATGTTTTCTAGATCTCATGTACAAGTCACATACTCCAAAAGTTGCTTCTGATTGCAAGCCTGAATAGCTCACCATATGTACGGGAATGTCACAAAATATCCAAAATTCTGTAACCTTAATCAAAAGTGTAGACTTAATAGCATGGCCATGTGGAAAGTGAAACTGGGATTGAGACTTCCACATCCACATCCACACCAATGTACACGTATGGTGAACTCGGACCACCAGCCCAAGTAATTGTTAGTTATGAATAATGTGGAGAAAAATGCAATGAAAAGATTATGTTTAAAATTGTTGCACCAGAGCAAAATAAAAGCTCTTTATGGCAAGTCATGCAGGATAGCATTTATCAGCCGTCACCAGCTTTTACTTATAGTTTGATGAAATAAAGAAAAGCAGGTCTATTCAAGGGAGGTAAAAATGGCTTGAAGAAACTGGTGAAATCTTCACCAAGAAAAATGATGACAAATCAAAACGTAACAAAAGACCACCGCCATCACCAAGGAGTAGAGAGATGTGCTTGACATGTAGAGAGGTGTGAGTGATGAGACACTTATTCATCCACCTGACACCATCAGAACAAAATGATTTACCGCGCTGGTCTTGGTGACGGTTGTCTTGGTGACCGTCGTCTGGGAGAACTCCCCACTCTGCCTGGCAGTTCTCTCCGTCTGTAGCTCGCTCTCAGCCAGCCTCAGTTTATCCAGGGTGTCCTGCTGCTTCCTATCCAACAGCTGGTACTCGTTCTGCAGGTTTCGCAGCTTGGACTGGAGGTCCAGGATTTCCGAACGCGTCTGCTCCTCCAGGTGCCTGAGCCGCTGGGAGAGGCTCAGCAGTTTTGCCTCCTGTTCCTTACTGAGGCGCTGGGCCATGTCGCGCTGGTGGAGGATGTCGTCCATGTCACTCCGCAGCCTCTCGTTCACCTTGTGCATCTCGTTGTACCTGAGCTCCGTGTTGCTGCAGTCCTGCTCGGCCCGCCGCAGCTGCTGGCGCAGGCTCTCCACCTCCCCGCTGCCCTGGCTCATGTTCACCTCCATGTGCTTCAGCTTCTCGGTCGCCGTGTTCCTTTCCAGTTCCAGCTCCGTGATTCGGCGGTGCAGCTCGAAGGCTTCCTGGTTCGCATGCTCGTTGTCGGACTTCAGTCGACGCCTCAGGCTCTCCAGCTCCTCTTCGAGTGCCTCTGTGTTGCCGCCCATCTGGGTCTGGACAGTCTCGATCTCAGTCACCTGCGTCTGGAGCTTGCTGGTTTCCGAGTAGTAAAAGTCATACTTGCTCTGCAGGTCCTCCTTCTCTCTTGCCAGATCATGCATTTTTCGTTCGCGCTCTGACATGTCGTCGTTGAGACCTTCAATTTTCAGTCTCAGCCTGCGAATCTCTTCCATCTGCTCCTCAATTTTCCCATCTTTCTCAGTGCTCTGACCCACGGAGCTCTCCAGGTTGCTCATCTTTGTCTCCATGGAGGTGATGTACGACTGTTTCTCCTGCAGTTCCCGGCGGAGGCGGTTCATCTCGAACTGCAGATCGTCAATCTTCTCCTGCAGCGACCTGTTGGCCTGCTTGTCCTGGTGCAGCTTCTGATTCAGACCTGATAATTCACTCTCCAGATCCCTCGTCTTGTTCTTCAGGCTGTTGATTACAGCAAATTTGTCTTCGTTGTCCCGTCGTGTTATTTCTAGGTCAGAACGCAGTTTACGCGCTTCAGCCTCCATGGCCCCTAGCTTCCCCTGCTTCTCATTTAGTGCCATCTGAAGGTCGTTACTCAACTTCATCTGAGAGGAAAGCTGCTCACTTTCTGCCCTGGTTATCTCTGTTGTCTTGATCTTGGTGATGTTGACCTCGTCACGAGCTGACAACAAATCTGACTGCAGACCCCTGATGTCAGACTCCCTCTGGGCCAGTAGCTGCTCCAACCTCTCCACTTCCGAGTTTGCGTCCCTTGCTTCCCGCTGGTAACGCTCCATGTTCGCCGTCTGGTCGTCCAGCTCCCGTCGCAGCTCGGCAATCTTCTTCCTCAGCGCCTCGTTCTCGGCTTCCAGCTCTCGGATCCTGCGCCGCAGCTCCTCGATCTCCGACTCCCGATCCCTCAGCTGTCCCTCCTGGATCTTGTGCTTGGACTTGAGAGCTTCCACCTCCTCGTTCAGGATGCTGATGTTGGATTGGAGCTTGGCGGAGTTGATCTCTGCCATCCCGCGAACCTCCACCAGCTCGGAATTCAGCTGCTCCACTTCCGTCAGCTTGTCGTGGTACAAGCGGTGGAGCTTGCTGTTCTGATCCAAGAGATCGTCGTGCTCCTTCTGCAGGCTGGAAAGCCTTTCGTTGGTGGTCTGAAGCTGGCTCTCAGCCTCCGACAGCTAGTGGCGTGGGAACAGGGCCACGTTATATCAACTACAATTTTTTCATTAACCCCCAGGTTAACAAACCTTGCAAGTACATCAGTTTTCAGAGTTACATGTATCTGTCTGTCGAATACAGGCATGTAAGACAATGCCTTGCATGAAATTGTGACTTTAGACAACTTTAGGTACAATATAGGAATGATAGGCTACTATGCGAAAGAAAAGTCAGAAACATGCTACTAGTGTGTACAGCTGTCTTATGCATGCACAGCCAAAGTGCAAGGACTCAACATTCGGTACCAACCAATGCATTTGCAAGAACCAGCGGCTGCTGCATACCATCTGGCATACATCAACTCAAATAAAAAATCACCATGATTGTATAGCATACCCCATGCACACCATGTACCTAGCCTGCACTGTTAAAACTTGTACCACCATGAAAATTTGAATTTATTGCCTTAAGACCAGTATCATTTCAGCATCGAAGCTCCCACCAGTTACTTGGCAACTAACTGCACCTTTTTGCATTATACAAAAGCAAGCTGCCATTGACATCTTGTTGGGCAAAGAAACCGCTTTGAGGGCGAGCTATTTTGGTATTGCAGGAAATTTGAATTCACCCAAGAGTATGCAATACCAGATGGTACAAAATTTTTGTTTTCAACAGCTTTTTTCAGACATGGAATAAAATCATACTCATTGTATCCAACAGTCTGTATATGGACTGGTTATCCCAGTTATGAAGCCAGTGTGTAACTTTCTGCCTTTTCTGCTCACGAAAAGTGTTGACATCCACTCAGAAAGAGTATGGCTAGTCTACATTGTAAAAGCCACTGGTGAACAAAACTGTGCATATTTACCATCTTGCTACTGTGTGTTCGGTGCAGGCTTTGAACAAACACTGCCAACTAGAAGGCACCTTATGTCACCGGGACAAGCTCACAACACAATATTTGGATTATAATGTACGTTGGCAGTTTCTTTCCCCTTCCAAGAGGTCAACAACAGATAACATAAAAAAAAAGCCGCCACCAGGTGTACGAATTTACAAATACAAGTGACCTTGACCCCAAACCAAACACGACAATATTTTACGTGTACAGCACTTTCCCACTTATGCCCAGGGTGTATTGCATTGCTTTGATTGCCTTAAGATAAGCTTAAGATGTGCCCCAGTAGGAAATATGAAGACCTACTAAGTCAACTGTTTTATAAACGGCACTGTGGAGTCTCTCCGCATGTTGTTGGGACTCCTCAACCTATGATACAACAGACTTTCTTGATAAACAAATCCAACAAAAACACACATCCACGAGATGAAACCAAACCAAGTCCTGAACCAAATTTTGAATAAAAACCAAAAATAACCTTATAGCCAAAAGAATGATGATAAACTACCACCACCTGAAAATTAATGACCAAACTGATCATTAAATAGATTTAAAAAATGATGATATCATAAACTTACACCATCCTACACCACTAAAAATAACGATTATAACCTGAACCCCATTGTGATCTACAAATTAAGACTCTACTGAAGAAATAAAAATGTGTAACACCTCAACCTCCTGGGTTGTGACACTAGTGCTACTTTCCTCGATCTACACCAAAGTGGGATTACAAAATGTCATCATGTTAACAAGTGAATATCATTAGATAACTATGATATTAGATACAGGGGTAACATGTCATTCATGTTGTCAGTTATCCATTAGGGTTGGTGCACTGTTAGGGATGCTTTGCACATTTAATAGTCAATGTGAAATTAGGCAAGACATTGCTCGTTTAATAATATTACTGAAACATCATGTCAGTATTATGCTTCTTTATACAATTATATTTGTGACATATTGCTTTTGCATGCTGAATGTGAAAGTTAGTCTCATTAATTTTCTGGCATGCATATTGTTACAGTTTAGTTTCTTGGCTGGTAGTTAGTGAGTTAGTACATACCATCATAGTGCTTGTTGATGAAAATGATGTTGACTGTTGCTCCTGGTGCGATTGTAATGCAAGAACATTGGTGGGATACATTTTCTGCTTTTGACAGTACAGTAACTGTGTTCATGCCGTGTCGAGTTGTTTTAACGATTTATTCTATACCATCTGTACTGCTATCAATATTTTATGATTTATTGGCATGGTTCCATGCTTGTAACATTTTCTGACCTACTCTAATCAGATGAATGTCCACTTTATTGTGTTAAACATACCCCTTAAATTGTAACCAAACCTAATAAAAACTGAACTGGTGCAACCTTACATGTACATCCAAACAAGTCCCATAGGAATGGGAAATGTCACATAAATGTCAAACATACATGCAGAATATATAATAATAGGGGGTCTATGTTGAAACAAATTTTGGGAAGAAATGCAATTTGTTCAAAGAACAAGAGAAGAACAATGTTGTGAAAAGGAAATGAACTATGAACAAGGTCCCAACCACCTAGTTCTACCACCTTAGAGGTAATATTGGATGAATAGGCCATTACAGATTCTAGTCCAAGTTATCATGGGTATTATGGATATTTTACCAGACCAACAAGTAGAACTTCTACTTTAAAAGACGATGAAAAACAGTACAGATGAGTGTAAAGTTCAAAGCACTGCATTTGATTCTGAATATTCAGGAGAATGTTGTCATCAAAATATTCAATTTTTGAGATCACAGACTGTACATGACTTATGGATTACGCAGAGTTAACAAGCTGCAGGTTGTACATGTATATGCAAGGCACAGACATAAAGGGCAAGTTACAATATGCGGGGGAAGGACAACACAGTTATAAAGTCAGTAATTATGATTAGAACAAATTACTGCAATAAAAACACAATGTTTTAAAACATTCAATGTTTAATAATTAATTGGTAGAAACAAGTGAGGTCAAACGTACCATGTACTGCTGCTGGAATGTTCCGTTAGGAATCTTGGAAAGGTCATCCACGGCCTGTGTGTGCATGCGAGACAATTCAAGTCAAACATGCAGTCAGTCCACCGCAAACACAGCCAATGTCAACAAACACAGCAGCGACAAGCTACTCATAACCACTAAGGTAAATGCACTGGAGTTACTCTAAAATGCTGCTAGTGGTAAACAGCCAATCATTCCTGGACACATGCCATGCATAATCAATTCATCAATACTTCATATTGATTAATATTCAATAGGTTAATACAGTCGAGTTAAATGTATGCATGTTTTATAATTCAACTGAGCAGCATGTATCATTTTTCATACTGGAGAATGTTAATATGATGAAGCAACGTGATAGTTTCAAGTGACAAAATTCCTTCACAAAAGGTAAGATTGTAAGATATACACTTTACAAACATAAGTGACAATGTCACCAATTCTTGTATATGCAGTATTAGAACATGAAACATTGTGCCGCATATACGTGTATGAATTTTCTTAAGGAGGTACAAGTACAGTAACTGTTGTACATGTTCATGTATGTTGAGGGTGGAAGAAAAACCTGACAAAAATCTGACAGCAGATAGAGCCAGATGGCTGAGTTCATTACCAAATGGTGTTGCACAGAGCACTAAAGCTCTGTGTGACCAATATGTCTCAAGTGGTGACAAGCTTAGGGAAAGTGCACATAAGGATAACAAAGTCACCCAAGGTCAATGCCACATGGGAATGCACCAAAAGACATTCTGTGACAGACAAGATCTATATGTTCTGTAAACAGTGTATCTTGTACAGTGTAGGAAGGAAGGAAGTACAGGTCTGAAGGAATGCTAACATTGGACAGGGGTAAAATAGAGACCAGGCAAGGTAAAGTACAGGACAAACAAATCAGACATTCCTAAAGTAAAATACGTGTGGAAGGAAAAAAACCCACAGAAACCACTAGAATGAGTGGGGAGCCCCCTGAATTGTTGCAGTACTATATTCTGACTGAAATGAGTGCCACATCTGGGGCAATGTTTGTTTCCCGTCTTGCAAAGCAGGTACCCTTCAACAATGAAAAGAAAGAATGCCAGGAATGAAGCGAGAAGCTGGCTCTGATTCTAGGTGAAATACTTTTCTTGGCCTTGAGAAGAAGTGCTGCCATGAGCATGACGCTTCGCTTCATTTACCGACAACAAAATACCAACTTCTGCCACAGTATTTGGATACCAGCTCCCATTCTTTTATGTTTCCTTTATGAAAACAGAACCATCCATAATTCAGGGCATTAAACAGGACTTGGACGTTGCTGGTATGAAGTTTTATTCCCAGAGTCAAGGAACCACTGCATGAATCACAGCAACAACAATAAAACACCTGGGGCATGAAGTTGCCCACGAAATTGAAAACATCTGTCATTCTGCCTCACAGAATGTATTATACATATATCTCGTCATATTTCTAATTTATCAATTACTCTGCAGGAATAAAGGTTGACATGCTACTCTTACAGTTGAAAGCATGAATGGATAACGTTTCTTACTTTTTAGTTATCTAAATTTAAGGAAATGAACCTAGGATGGAGGACTTAAATCTGCATATCTGGACTGCAAGAACAACACTGCCAGTGACAGCAAAATTGACCAACAATTTCCTGACACTCTTCAAAACTACCACAGAGACTTTTGCCAGCTACATGTACGCCAGTTTGACCTGATGTGACCTATGCATCTTGTGAAGAGGCTAGAAAAGTAGACAATTACCTCAATTCCCAGAAGTGGATATACACATGTATCAACTGACTGTCTGAACAAATAAATGGTATACAAGTAAAAGTCTTACCCAGACCACTGTGTAGTACTTGGCCATAGTTTTGGAGATCCTGATGAGGGACTAGGGTTCGGCAGGATGGGTGAGGACAACGTCTGTGCAAGAACTGGCCCTTAACAAAGCCTAACAGAAGCTCCTACAGGCCTCCTTAATCCGTAAACTAGGCAGTTGACCTAGCAAACTAACTACAACCTGTGAAGACTGGTTGGTTTCCAGCTGTTGCAACTTTACCCTTGTTTGGCTCTGCCTCTTTTTATACCGCTCAGTTGGAAAAGACAAGCAAGGCCAGCTTACAGACTGCCAGCTGACCTGAACACCATTCCTGAGGAAGGTTGCCAATGATGTTGTCTTTTGTTTTCATTGAGAGGTATTGATCCATAAGGAATGAAAGCATTGTGTCCTGTTATACCTATACAAACAGCAAGAGGGCTCTTCAAAAGGTTTAAAGTGGGAAAAGAGAGGAGCAAGAATCAGTCATGTAAGATGAAGAAACATTACTCTTAATGGCTGAAATAGACAATGCGGATGAAACAAAGGTTAGGAAAATGAAGGCTATGGAAAGAGAGCTTATTTATAAAAGAAAGTGAAGTAACAGTCAGGTAAGAAACAACAAACTGCTGTCGTCTTCATGTTTGTAGTGGTGTGACAAGAATACAATCTGGCAGAGAGAATGTTGGGATACACGTAGCAGATGAGAGTTTTGAACAGCAAGGAAAAATAGATACAGGAAATATTGTTGAAGCCTGCATGAGTGTAAAATGTTTCTGAGCATCACCTGGTTCTTATGGTAGAAAAAGGAAAATTTTCAAGAATATATGAATATACCAGTATTTGATATAGAAGCATAATGTCTTACCTGTACTTTGTAGGGGCTGCCCTGGATGTGTTGTCCACCAAACCTGATGGTGATGGTGTACTCTCCCTGCTGCTGGGCCGTGTAGAAGATGTCAAAGGTTCCGTCGTCGTTCTCAACAACATCAACGTCCACGTCCTCCCCGTTGGCGTCCTGGATGGTGCAGTTGACCTTGCCCTTGCCGGCGGTCTTGCAGTTGACGGTGACGCAGGTTTCCTCTCCGATCTGGATGTACGGCTGCATTCCATCGCCTGTGGACGTGTGGTGGAGGTTAGGAAAGCAAGATGTTGTCAAAGGATTGCTCGTCCGTCAGTAAAAATGTTAAGAAATGCAATTTTCTCCCAATTTGTAGAATTGCTTGAGGCAAGTGCCTGTTTAGGAAGGCAACAAGGTAACTTGAAATGTTCCATCCACTGCTCAAAAATTGAGTAATATTTGCTGATATTCAATATTTTTAATATCGATTCTCAGGATTCTGCCACATACCCTAACACCACCAGATTTTTTAAAAGCTTTCTCAAGACTGTATTGTCCTGTATAGCTGATGTGTGTAGACCTTGGGGATAGCTGATGGTGCATTTTTTTGTGTGTGAGGTCCTAGGGTACCCAGAAGAATTGTGAAAGTTGACATTATTACCCATTTTGACAATGCAAGTCACTCTAACCATGCAGAAATATGGCATGACATTAGACCAACAAGCATTCCAAACTCATGCAAAAGTTTCCCCTACAGCTACTGAAGCTTTAACATAAAGCACACAAACTACAGCATGAGATGTACATGAGTGGACAGTCAATGTCAGGGTGGCATTCTACGTTCTTCATATCTTAATGTTTTGTGACTTAAGTCTGGAAACACCAGTTTTAAAAATCGTAAAGGGGAAAGGAACTCAGAAATCTCACAATTGTCTTTGTAAATGTTCAAAAGCATGATGGTCGCTGTTTCTACACTTCGAGAAGCATTTTTCAAATGGAATTTTAGCAGCCAAGTCAACTAGTACTGTGTACTTACAGCATTCGTGCAACAGCCTGGTTGAAACATTATCAGCTTTCACACCAGCCAAAACAGGACATCTCATATTGGCCATCTTTTGAATATACACATCTAACAGACTAGAATACTAACAGTGCAAAACATGGCCAACATGGGACAAGTCTTTGGTAGAATGCCACACTGTGATAGCTCCAGAGCATCTCCACCTAACACTTTGCACATCATACCAGCTTCTCTATACCGTACAAGCCACCTTTCTGTTTACAAGACCCTATACAGTGACATACAAATACTTCACACTGCTGATGCACTGGCACATATTCTTGGCATAACCTCAGCCAAATAGCATTGTCAAAATCCTTCATATCTGTCTGTCTTACATTAGCAATCTCAACAATTGTGCTAAGGATTTCAACCATGCCACTTGGCAGAGACCAAGTCATGGCTCTGATCGAGAGTGGAAGGTTTGCAGCACCACCATAAGGGTACTGTAGACAGAATTGTGGTATGTACTACATCAACTCTGATGATTTTGCTGGGTGCCCAAAAGATGGCCACATGAAAAATGGTGTTATGGCAGCCTTCTCAAGAAGGTCTTGAACACCTGAATATCTCAAATATGCATAACTTGATTACTGGTGCTGCATTTGTAGATATTCCTGATTTTTTTAATGTGTCTGTCTTTGGGTTCCTGACAGAATTATGAGAGTTGATGTTCCAAATGTCTGTAGAGAAACAGGTTAGGTGTGGTAGGAGTTAGGAGGAGGTGCCTGCAGGTGTTGGTCCTTACCTAGCCACTGCCCCTGCCCAACACGCCCGGGTGGGCTGATGCGCACTACAGACAACACACCACAGGTGAGAGTGCAAAAGAGTCAGACAGTTGGTGAATTAAGTGAACAACAGATAAAAAAAAATGCTTGGAAAAAATGGTGGAACAAAAACAATGGTAGGTCAGGTAGGAAATAGGAGTTGTTTGATCATAGCAGTACATGGGAGATGGGTAACAGGTATAGGTTGAAGAAAATCGTGATGAGATAAAAATGAGGACAAAAATAGAGATTTTGCAATTTCTGACAGGCAACACTAAAAGAGGAAAAGATGACAATCCTGGAAAGATGCTTCAGAAAAAGACATCTTGGGAAATACATCGAACTTGAAGAGGAAATGCTATGTACCATCTAAAGGTGCTGGTTTGCACTATACTTTTCGAGCATCCTCAAAAAAAGAGCAGTCTACATTTTGTAGATCTGTACGATAGTCATAAGAGGAATCAGACAGAGTCCCTCCCATCCTCCCTACCTGTGACAGAACACTTGTTGGCATCTCCGGTGGGTTTGACAGTGATGCGGAAGGGAGAGCGTGGGACCTGCTCGCCTCCGTACTTGATCTCGATGGTGTAGTTGCCGGACTGCTCGGGGGTGTAGGTGATGGTGTAGGTTCCGTCCCCGTTGTCATGGATCTCTGGGCTCTTCATCCTACCATCTGGGTCCTGGAGAAAAGAAGGTACACATCTTTACCAACATTCTTTCCTTCCTTCATCTATTGCCAAGTGTACATGTACATGTACATGTAGTAAAGATGACTGTCATTTTGAAGAAGACATAGATCTGGATCTTAGACATAGAATAGGCTATCATATTACACATTGGAATTTACTGAACACAAGGAAATCTTGACAACACTAACAGTCTAATCTACCTGTTGACCACATAACAAGTGGAATGTACATTAGGAATATCTGGCTACCTCACACCTCACCGTTTGTAGATGAAATGCTGGTGGGTTTGACTCCCTAGGATTCAGACATCCTATCCTTACATTAGGTCTGGCTTTCTTGCCGAGGTAAACAACTCGCGGAGCTGCTTTACTTCCCACTAAACCTTCCCTACTGTCCATCCATGGAAGCGCGGCTTGTTGTGTTTGTGGGGACGAACTCCAAAAAAGACTCCCACAAGCGTAACAGATTCTTGGTGTTTCCATATTCCGGACAGGGGGACAACTTTGAAATCTGTACAGCAGTTCTGATAAATAAGCTCGACTAAGAAATCTTGGCCGGTCTGAACTAAAACTTGATACTGCCCTTGAGACTTGTGAGGGATTGACCGAGATATTCTGGGACCCCTGAGTATCCAGTTACCTCGTTATTGCATACAGGTCAAGGGTATATGTGGCCTTGCACTATCCTCTGGACCAAACATACAGACATACTACTAGCAAATATTCACTGACAGATGAAAAATGATTATAACACAGACATACAAAATATTTTCAAAACCCAAGGATCACAATCAAAAAGGCAGACTTAAGGTATTTAAGAAGCTGTGGCCAAGTCTTGATGCCCCCAAGATACTACCAACCTACATCTTGGCCAGAATGTCCAATAAAAATGCAAGGCATGTTCAGCCCCTCAGCATACTTACTCACTGCGCAGTCTGTCATCTTGTTAACACACATTATTATATGCTCTGGTTACATTTGGGCTCAGTCTGAAAAGTTCCTGGTGATTTGAGTACAAAGGTGCTCAAATTGCGTGAAAGTTTAACTCTCTTATCTCAGCCAACTTGACAGCATGTGGCAATTTTATGATGTACTTTTCTTGCTAGAATCGTGAAGTTTTTTGTTGCTTTTTTACTTACGGGATATATATCACAGATTTTCTGGTGATGTTGGCACCCCAGACAGTGACTGTTATGGATCAAGTACACAGCATGTATGGCAGGTCTAAGTAGGACACTAGAGCATGATATAACAAACTTTTGTGTTTGTACTGTACCTCCAGGATGACCTCCAGGTCAGCGTTTCCAGCGTCGCGGCAGTCGATAGTGAAGGAGATGGGGAAGGAAGCAGGCACACCCTGCTGCAGCCCCGGGCCTGTCGCCTTCACCTTGCTGGCATCATATGGTGGCAGCACGCGGACGTTAAATGGACTGGGAAAAAAACGCAGGACACACCACTAGTCAGTATTGGAGTCATACCAACAACCTTAAAATCACAGTACAAGGAAACCTGAGAAAGTACTACATAGAATTTATGAACCTTGGTATAGTTTCTAATAACAAATTAGGATAAAACATTTTCTAAAAAATCTGCAGTACTAGAAAGAAAAGCTAGGTGGCGTGGCAGCTGACCTCTGTGGGATGCTCTGGTTGTCGTACTTGACATCGACCTTGCAGGCCCCCTCGCTGGGCGGGATGTACTTGACTGTGTGGGTGCCATCATGGTTGTCTGTGACCTCAGTGTTCACTGTTGCACCTGGGAATAATCAGAGATGGAAATGTACAATTTAAAGGCATTCATGGCAATTTCAGGGCAGCAAAACTGGATTTTCAAAGTCAATTTCCTGGCCATTCAAGTTACTGTGATGAGGAAATGACTGCCAACACTGCTAGACTGTAGCCAAAGGCAGATGATAGTAATTTATACCGATCCCTGATGCTTTACTGCCTTTCTTTTCATGTAACACTATATTATTCAGTCAGAGGCATCTAGCAATGTTTTGACTAAGAGACCAAAGGGACTACTGGTTGCTCACTTTTCTTTTAGTTTCCAACACTAAAGAAATGTAACAAGAAATCAGAGAATTGATCCTCACTATATACAAACGACCTACCCATCTGTGATGTGACCTTGACATCCAGAGGTGCGCTGCCTGTCTTGGCGTGGTCCACGGTGAACACCTGCATGTTCTGGGCACGGACACCGCCCTTCTCCAGGCCGGGGCCGTACGCCTTGACCTTGGACACGTCAATGTCGTCCTTGATCAGCACAGAGAATGGGCTTCCTAGAGTGGGGAGAAATGAAAAATCAATCCAGATCAAATTTTGTACAAAGACTACAAGAGTATCATTCTGTGACTGCTTGAGCTATTTGAGAAATCATTAGATTCAGTGTAAACATTTTCCGTGTTTGGGGCACAACCTAATGAATGTACATTGTATATATGAGACATCAATATTATTTTCTGATTGGCCATTTAGATAAGACCTTACCCCTGATTGGCTGTTCTCCGTAGGAGATGTGGATGTCGTAGTCTCCAGGAGTGGTGGGGAAGTACTCCACGGTGCAGCTGCCGTCCTTGTTGTCCTTGCACGTCATCTTGGCCTCCGAGGGACCCTCGATGGCCAGACCAAGACCACCTGTACCAGCACCCTGGACATGGCAGGGAAAATAAATCATAGATTTATCAACACACTGATCAAATCTCTAAATTTTGTTAAGACTGGAAAGCTTTACTAGACTTCAGACGTCTCTGTGCCACAACCATAACCTACTGAACTGTTACAGTTTGTCGACTTGAAGAATGCAGTACCTAAAACAGTCACTAGAGGTCTCTAATGTGCAGCCAGACCTACCTTAGTCTCAATGGTGAACTGTTGAGGTTTGTCGGTGAGTCCACCCTCCAGTCCTGGCCCGTAGGCGCGCACCTTGGATGGGTCACAGCCCTCCTTAGCCTGGACCTTGAAGGGAGCCCCGGGCACCTGCAGCTCCTCATACAGCACGTCTATCAGATGGCGTCCTGGGGAATACATTAAGTACATGGTAAGTTGTTTTCAACATAAAATAACGTGTGATGGTCTGAGTTGCTGAACCGCTATATGTTAGTTTCTGAATGATTTTGATCAAGGACATTTCCTACATAAAGTCATAGGGCAAAAAAAGTTCCCATCAAAGTGTATACTATGTCTGGATTACATGTATTATCACAAGCTACAGCCTTTACCGTCAAGAACTGTATTGTGGACATAAGTTTCTCACAGAAGAAATGTTACTGTTATTACCTTCTTCGTATGGTGTGTAGGAGGCGGTGTAGGTTCCGTCCCTGTTGTCCTTCACAGCAGCCTCAGTCTTGGCTCCGGTGGGGTTCTGTACCACACAGCGGACGTTGTCTCCTCCCCTCCTGCTCACAGACTTCGCGTCGATGGTGAACTCCGTCGGAGCATCCACAAACATACCTTAAGGTTCAAACAACGCCTTTTAGTTTGGTCCTTTTGCAGAGATGTTTTGTAAGTAAGTCACTGAAATATGATGCTCTTGTCTTGGCAAGTATATGAAAGATGAGGATGGTCAAATTTGGAAAAATACAATCTCTTCTTGAAATTCAAGTTTGAAATTATACATATTAATGCCAGTGGCTTAAGACAATATGCTAGAATGCAACTCACACAAAGAGAAGAGTACAACATTCACATTGACAGAATAAAGGACAACAACAAAGCTTTCACAAGAGAGCAGGATTCTGAATATTTGATATAGAAAAGCACAGACTTCAAGGTCATAAGACACATATTTTCAATGTGAATGCATCATCTTCAGACAGACACTGTTGAAGTCTCCTTCAGCTGTTAGTGGCTGCAGAGACCTCAGTTGGGAATGTGTGAGTTTTAGTGACTACAGGTACATGTACATGTATGGTATGGAGAGAGTGAGGGGGTTAAGTCACTCCATGGTGCGTCACCTTCGACTCCAGGGCCATAGCACCTGATCCCGCTGACGTCGACCTTCTGTTCGATGGTGATCCTGATGGGGACCTGTGGGATGGGATCCCCGCCGTACTTGATCGTGATGGTGTAGGAACCTGCGATCTGGGGCACGTACTTGATCCGGAAGGTGCCATCACGCGAGTCCTCGATCTTCACATCCACGCGTTCGCCCGTCTCCGTGACGACCTCGATGGTCAGCTCAGCCTCGCCGGCTTCCCGGATGTCGACCGTGAACTCGCAGGGGTCGCCGGCCTTGTTGCCGGGAGACAGCCCCGGGCCGCTGGCCTTGACTTTGGAGGCGTCGTGAGCAGGGACCACCCTGGCGGGGAAGGGAGACCCGGGGATGTGCTGGTCAGCGTACATGATGTTGATGCTGTAGTCCCCGACATCCTCTGGCCAGTAGGACACAGAACACGTGCCGTCTCCCCTGTCTTTGCACTCGATGCGAGACTCGCTCGGACCCTCGATGGTCAGGCCAAGCCCACCCTGTCCAGCCTCACGCGTGTCAATGGTAAACGTCTGCTCCCTGTTGACCTTTCCACCCTTCAACCCTGGACCATATGCCTTGACCTTGCTTGGATCTGCGCCGGGCACTGCCTCGAACTTGAAGGGGCTGCCGTCGACTACCTGGCCATCGTACTTGACGCTTACTGCGTACATGCCCACTTCTAGCGCGGTGAAGACACAGACATAGTCTTCTCCTCTCTTCTCAACGCGTGTGGTCTTCAGCACCTTTTTAGTGGTAATGGACGTGATGGTGATCTCCACGTTACCCAGACCCCCTGCACCGCGCGTGAGCACAAAGAACTCCTTCTCCTGGTTCACGATAACCTCTGTACATGAAGACGATGTAACATGTGTGATAACTGCAGACTGATATAACTCACTGTGACTTTCCGTTTTCCTTCAATCTTAAAGAATCCTGTTTTTTTGCATCTTGGATGGGGCAGTAGGAAGGTTGTTGGTAAAACAGCGTGTTATGTGAGTTGACTGTTTGTGTGAGTGCCACACTCGCGTGCAAACATCCTCAGACAAAAAGGAATTGAAAGAAGAAAATTCAAACAAGCCATTTGGCTTCACAGACAGGGAAAAAATAATAAGACAGGACTCCAGAAAACACACACAGAAGCAGTTACAGTAATGGGGAAAAGCTTTCAAGACTCAAGGTGTCAAAACTGCAAGCTTTTTGACAGTTTTGGGTTAAAGGTTTGTGTGAAACGTTCATTACTCTGTGACTTATCGAGCATCATAACAGCCTCACAGCCTGGTAGGGAAAATACATTGTCTTAGGGAAAATACATTGTCTTAGGGTGTTAGCCTAATAAGTTGAAATGGATAAAGTGAGGATCACATTACAACAATCAAACCACAACTCAAGAAGACAGATCAAGCAATATCATACACCGTGACAAATCAGGAAGGATTGTACACAGGTGAGCAGAACATTGATAACACAACACAATACTTTGTTAAGGACAGTTTTCACTCAAACGCAGCACACAACTGATACATGCATGCTGTTAAAGCAGCGTATTTGTGCATTGTGGTGCAAAGTTAGAAATTAAAAGCTGTTACAAGAGTTATTAGTGATACTCAGCATTCAGCAGTCAACACCATTAGAGGAAGATCTACATGTAATTTAGTAAGAGTAGATTACAAGATTTCCCAGTGCCCAATCCAAGAAAACTGCAACAAAGGCGCCCTTACTTCTATGTGCAAGGAAAGAGAAAAGCCAGCACCAATACTACATAAATATGCGCACACAGAAATGCAACTTGCAGATAGATAACACCATAAAGCGACACAGTACAGGAATTGAACACTGCACAATTAACAAGGAATTACTGCAGGAAACAAAGAAGCAAGAGAAAGCTTCATAGGAATTACAATTATATTTGTCAGTTGTACTACAATTAAGAGCCTTGGATATCTGTTCTATCAACAGAATTTAAGAAAAAAGAAGAAAATGCAGCACTCACTCTCTCCCAGCCCATCGACCTTGACCTTGCTGAGGTCAACAGGTGGAGCGACGTTGACCTTGAAGGGGCTCTTGGGAATGGGTTTGCCGGCATAGTTCACGCTGACGTTCATGGGCCCAGCAGCCACCGGGGTGTAGTGGACGGTGAAGGTCTCGTCCTTGTTGTCCACAATGTTCACATCCTTAGCTCCTCCACCTGTAAAATAGGACATTAAGAGTATATATAAATAATATGCAAAGGCACTGTCAAATACTAGGTTCACTTTAGTGCAATAGAGCATACATGTACATGTACTTGAACAATCACATCACAAACCAGTGAAGCAATTTTCCAAGATAGAAAGAAAGTAAACATTGACAATAGGCATGAGTAGAAAGATTCAGTAGCTGTGTGTGAGCAAAATCAGCACCAACACAACAAAATATATTTGATGAGATTTTCAGCTGGTTATGAGCTGTGACAGTTTCCTGGGATCCTTGAGAAAGGCTATTCTTGGTCAGCTGGTAAGTTGGCCTTTTGAGTTTTGTAAGAGGGAGTAGTCGCTGCCTGTAGCAGGGTGTTACTTCACTCCTGTGGACTCACCCACACTGTATCCACTGGGAGGGGGTTTAGATACAGATGGTGGAGTGGAGGGGGGTACACCCGGGCCTGTGGGCATGGGAGGGGGTGCTGCCTCAGCTGCAGTCCTGGGAGGCGAGACTTTCTTCTGACCAGGAGAAAGGGGGGCAGGGGATGACACAGGCTGAGGAGATGCCGGTGGGGTAGTTGTCACAGTTGTGGGTGGAGAAGGTGCGGTAGCCGGGGCAGATGGTACAGGAGTTGAGGGTTCAGTATCCAGGGAAGGTACAGGACTACCTGGAGATGCTGGCACAGCAGCTGTCACAGATGCAGGTGGAGGTGGTGGCACAGATGCTGGTGGAGGTGGTGGTGTATTTGGTACAGGTGGTGTAGGAGTGGTTGGAGGGGGCAGTTCAGAGTCCAGGGAAGGTACAGGAGTATCTGGCACAGCGGCTGTCATGGTAGCAGGTAGAGGTGGTGGTGGTGTATCCAGTACAGGTGATATAGGAGTGGTTGGAGGAGATGGTAGGGAAGGTACAGGAATATCTGGGGATGTTGTTTCAGTAGCGACTGGAGATGCTGGTGCCACTGCTGGCACAGGTGGTGGTTCAGCAGTGACTGGAGATGTGGGGACTGGTAAGGGGACTGTTGGGACAGGGCTTACAGCCTGGGTAGGTGATGTTGGGGCAGCCTCTAGGTCAACTACACACAAGAGGTCACATGGGAGAATAGGCACTCTGTGCTGATGTCTAGGACTTCAGAACAGAGTGCTGACAAACAGTCTTAAACCACATCCTCACGGATCACAGACAGAGCTGAAAGGTTTTCTGATATAAGAGATTTTCGTATCTGTGTTTAAAAAGCCAAAGAATTAAACCAAAACTTCTGTCCAACAGCTGATACCAAAATAGCTGAAACAACATGAGCCACAAATAATCTTTCAATTAGTATAAAGTACGTAATATCAAGAAGTATTCCTTACCCCTGGATGGCCCGACAAAGTCCAGGTCCAGTTTGCCCTCTCCAGCTCCACGTGTGTTGACTGTGAAGTAGGTGGGCTTTCCTGACACAACACCTGAAGAACCAATCAAAACAAACTTTAGTTGAGTCCAACATTTGGCAACCAATCAAAACACACTTTAGTAAAGTCTCACACTTGGTAACCAATCAAAACACACTTTAGTGAGTTCCTCACTGGGAAAAAAAGTTAGCCAGGTACAATGTATGTTACCAATGAGATCACAATAAAATCAGTCTAAATAGAATCTGAACAGAATCATACAGATACGGGTTGTGTCTCACCTGTAGGTTCCAGCCCAGGTCCCTCAGCGCGCACCTTGCTGGCGTCTCCAGCTGACTCCACCTGGATGACGAAGGGGCTCTTGGGGATCTCCTGCTCCCCAAACATCACCATGATGGTGTAGCGCCCGGCCGCGGGCGGAACGTAGCTCACCGTGAACGTGTCGTTGTCGTTCTTCACAATGTCAAAGTCAATATCAGCCTCCCTCTCTCCAACCACACCAGGAGAACACTTGATGCCGATGCTGACATCACCTTGGATTCAAAATTTGTAAAATATCAAAATGTGGCATTGTGCTCAGGTAAACATTATAGCTGAAAAGGAATATCTTTAACTTGTTATACATGAAGTACACATGGATACAAAATGTATGGAGACAAAGAGGAGAGTTAGTTCCCACTAGCATGCAGGGATTTATATTGTACAATGTACATCTATGTCATGGATATTACTTAGTCTACAGAAACCTATGTTATAAATACTACTACTGTCATGTACATGTAGACTGTGGGGTAGGGTCTATGCAACTATGTACACTGTACTAGGTGAAAAAGTACAGTTTGGAGTGTAGGGATTGCCGTGTGAGTTAAAAATGTTTGCTTCAGTAAAGACAGATGGAATCAAAATTGGCAGGTGTTCTAGTGACCTATTGGTATGGAGTTAACAAGGGTAAGGGTTGGGTTGGACTAGGAAGAACTAAGGCCACACCAATTTAATTTGTTGGTTCTCGGATTTTTTCAGAAAAAATATGAAGCGACAGGGCGAAAAAAAATAAAAATAAAAACAGGTCTAGGCATCCTATTATAGCCCCAAATGCTACAATATGAGCTATGAAGTCAACAAAAAAGGCTGGGTTAAAATTTAAAGTATAAATTTTGAACTTTTAATCAAACCACTGCATTGATAGATGGAAAAACTGTAACAACTAGGAAGAAAGGAATTTCCTCAACTGTTGGGGGCAAAATATGAGCATTTTTGAGTTGATTCAGAACCAGAATCTCTTTTTTTTTTGCAAATCAAGAAAAAATGAAGAGGCGAATCCGAGAACCAACAAATTAAATTGGTGTGGCCTAAACTTGACTTTTTGAATAATGATATCTTTTGA